GGTGTATGGAATAATTGTAAGGTGTACATATCTGACTGGCAGGGTTCCATCTGACTTTGACCTCAATTTCATGGTTCATTGAACAATGTTTAGTTTTTGTGGTTTGGTCTATTTCTCAGATATCATAAGCAATAGGTGAATAATATTTGTTGTATGAAATGATTGTAAAAGATGTACATATCTGTCTGACAGGGTTCATATGATAGTGACCTTATTTTCATGGTTCATTGGTCAATGATAAGTTTTCGTAATTTTGTCAGTTTATCAGATACTAGCACTAAGTCAACTATATTTTGGGTGGAAAGATTGTAGGATGTTCATGTCTGTCTGGCAGGGTTCTCAGGACTTTGACCTAATTTTCATGGTTCATTGATCAATCTAAAGAGTTTGTGGTTTAATCTGTTTCTTAGTTTCTATTAGTGATATGACCACTATATTTTGTGTATGGAATGATTGTAAGTTGTAAACGTCTGTCTGGCAGGGTTCATATGACCTTGACCTCATTTTTATAGAACATGGATAATGTTAAGTTTATGTGATACTTGTAGTAAAACCTTCATATTACAGAGTTTCAAAAAGAATTCAATGATAAATAAAACAGGCGAGACATTTCAGCGTGTCCACTCTTGTTTATATATAAGCCAATAATGATGTTGCCTGTTAATCAACAGCAGCCATATTTCTTGATGAATCAGAACCTCAAACACAATGTTTGAACTAGATACCCTAAGATGCACTCACGTAAAGGTAGGATTTAAATCTGTTCAGCTGTTTCTGAGAAGATGTTTGAACTTGTTAATGCCAACAATGGACATTTGTTACACCTCTATCCCAGGTTAGTGTTTTAGACCACTCTTATTGTGTTTTTATGGTGAACATGCTCAGGGTTTAACCCCGCCGCATTTTTGCGCCTGCCCCAAGTCAGGAGCCTCTGGCCTTTGTTAGTCTTGTATGTTTTTTTAATTTTAGTTCATTTATATGTTTTGGAGTTTAGTATGACGTCCATTTTCACTGAACTAGTACACATTTTTATCTAGGGGCCAGCTGAGGACCACCTCCGGGTGCGGGATTTTCTCGCTGCATTAAAGACCCATTGGTGGTCTTCCGCTGTTATCTGCTCTTTGGCCGGGTTGTTGTCTCTTTGACATATTCCCCATTTCCATTCTCAATTTTATATCAAGTACAGCAATCCTCTATTGTTTGTTATTAGTGTACATCAGCACTGCTGTTATAGAAACAGTCCATGTACATTTGCTGGTTGTCTCCTGTACTGCAATCCTCCTTTTTAAAGTTCTCTGTTTTTAGATCTTTCTTATTGTGATACTGTGGATTAATTTATTTTCGTGGGTACCAATTTTCTTGGACTTAGGAAAAATTGTATTTTTGGTGGATATTTGATTTCGTGGTTTTGCAAAAGTTTGGATACAGCCTATAGAAAATCTATACTTCGTTGAACAATTAAATTTGTGGGTTCCCTATACACACCAAATTAACGAAATATTGATACCCCAAGAATAATAATGAATCCACCAAGTAATTGTTTGTTTGGTGTACAGTAGTCCATCCATGTTTCAGACCACTCTTATTGGTTTTTGTTCGTTATCCTGTGTTAGTAGTCCCTCCATGTTTCAGACCACTCTTATTGTTTTTTTGTACGTTATCCTGTGTTAATAGTCCATCCATGTTTCAGACCACTCTTATTGTTTTTTTGTACGTTATCCTGTGTTAGTAGTCCCTCAATGTTTCAGACCACTCTTATTGTTTTTTTGTTCGTTATCCTGTGTTAGTAGTCCATCCATGTTTCAGACCACTCTTATTGTTTTTTTGTTCGTTATCCTGTGTTAGTAGTCCCTCCATGTTTCAGACCACTCTTATTGTTTTTTTGTACGTTATCCTGTGTTAGTAGTCCCTCCATGTTTCAGACCACTCTTATTGTTTTTTTGTTCGTTATCCTGTGTTAGTAGTCCCTCAATGTTTCAGACCACTCTTATTGTTTTTTTGTTCGTTATCCTGTGTACAGTAGTCCCTCCATGTTTAAGACTACTGGGTACTGTAGATTCACCATTATTCGTAATTACAAATTTTCATGGATTTTAAGGGTATAGGTACGAAGTACAATTTTCTATATGCTTGAGTGCAGAATTTGGCAAAACCACAAAATCACATATCCACAAAAATGCCAATTTTCGTCAATCCATGAAAATTAATGAATCTACAGTACTCTTATTGTGCTATAATGGTTTATTTCGTATACACTCTGTTTAAGACCTCTCTTATTGTATTACTATGGTTTGCTTGGTGTACAGTAGTCCATCTTTCTGTTTTATACCATTCTCATTGTGTAAGTATTGTTTGCTTGGTGTTCAGTAGTCCATCTCTATGTTTAAGACCACTCTTATTGTATTACTATGGTTTGCTTGGTGTACAGTAGTCCCTCTTTCTGTTTTATACCATTCTCATTGTGTTAGTATTGTTTGCTTGGTGTTCAGTAGTCCATCTCTATGTTTTAGACCACTCTCATTGTGTTACTATGGTTTGCTTGGTGTACAGAAGTCGCTTTCTCTGTTTAGACCACTCTCATTGTGTTACTATGGTTTGCTTTGTGTACAGTAGTCCCTCTCTCTTGTTTAGACCACTCTCATTGTGTTACTATGGATTGCTTGGTGTACAGAAGTCCCTTTCTCTGTTTAGACCACTCTCATTGTGTTACTATGGTTTGCTTGGTGTACAGTAGTCCCTCTTTCTGTTTTATACCATTCTCATTGTGTTAGTATTGTTTGCTTGGTGTTCAGTAGTCCATCTCTATGTTTTAGACCACTCTCATTGTGTTACTATGGTTTGCTTGGTGTACAGAAGTCGCTTTCTCTGTTTAGACCACTCTCATTGTGTTACTATGGTTTGCTTTGTGTACAGTAGTCCCTCTCTCTTGTTTAGACCACTCTCATTGTGTTACTATGGATTGCTTGGTGTACAGAAGTCCCTTTCTCTGTTTAGACCACTCTCATTGTGTTACTATGGTTTGCTTGGTGTACAGTAGTCCCTCTCTCTTGTTTAGACCACTCTCATTGTGTTACTATGGATTGCTTGGTGTACAGAAGTCCCTTTCTCTGTTAAAGATCACTCTAATTGTGTTACTATGATTTGTTTGGTGTACATAAGTCCCTTTCTCTGTTTAGACCACTCTCATTGTATTACTATGGTTTGCTTGGTGAACAGAAGTCCCTCTCTCTGTTTAAGATCACTCTTATTGTGTTACTATGATTTGCATGGTGTACATAAGTCCCTTTCTCTGTTTAGACCACTCTTATTTTGTAACTATGGTTTGTTTGGTGAACAGTAATTTTTTTCCATTCTTTTAGACCACTTTAATTGTGTGACTACTGTTTGTTTGGTGTAAAGTAATTCCTTTCCATGTTTAAGACCACTCTCATTGTGTTACTATGGTTTGCTTGGTATACAGTAGTCCCTCCATGTTTTAGACCACTCATTTTGTTACAATGGTTTATTTGGTGTACAGTAATCCCTCTCCATGTTTTAGACCACTCTCATTGTGTTACTATATTTGCTTGGTGTACAGTAGTCCCTCTTTCTGTTTAGACCATTCTCATTGTTACTATTGTTTGCTTGGTGTACAGTAGTCCATCCCTATGTTTTAGACTACTCATTGTTGAACTATATTTTGTTTGGTGTACACTAGTCCCTCTCCAAGTTTTAGACTACTAATTTTGTTACTATGGTTTGTTTGGTGTACAGTAGTCCATCTCTCTATTTTAGACCACTCATTGTGTTACAATGATTTGCTTTGTGTACAGGAGTCCATCTCCATGTTTTAGGCCACTCTTATTATGTTACTATGGTTTGTTTGGTGTACAGTAGTCCATCCATGTTTTAGACCACTCTCATTGTGGAACTATATTTTGCTTGGTGAACACTAGCCCCTCTCCATGTTTTAGATCACTCATTTTTTTACTATAGTTTACCTGGTGTACAGTATTCCCTCTCCATGTTTTCGACAACTCTCATTGTGTTACTATATTTTCTTTGGTGTACAGTAGTCCTTCATGTTTTAGACCACTCATTGTGTTACTATAGTTTGTGTGGTGTACAGAATTCCCTCACTCTGTTTAGACCACTCTCATTGTGTTACTATGGTTTGTTTGGAGAACTGCTGTTTCTCAATGTTTTAGACCACTCTCATAGTGAAATGATGTGTTTCCTAGGCGTACAGTAGTCCATCCCCATGTTTTAGACCACTCAATGTGAAACTGTGGTTTGTTTGGTGTACAGAAGTCCCTCCCTCTTGTTTAGAGATCCATTGTTGGTTGTCTTGTGTACAGTAGTACTTATCTATTTTAGACCACTCATATTGTTTTATTCTGGTTTAATTGGTGTATAGTAGTGCTCATTTTTTTAGTGTTGGTGGTTTGTTGTACAAGAGTCACTCTCTCTGTTTTAGACCAATCTTATTGTATTATTATTGTTCTATTTGTGTACAGTAGTCCCTCCTCTGTTATTAGACCACTCTTATTGCAATGTTTTGGCTTGTTTGTTCATCTGTCCTCCTTTTTCATGTGATTCTTTTTGTGGAATTTTTTGCAGTTTGGTGTACAGTTGTCACTTTTAGTTTCGAGACCTTTCATCTTGTATGATTGTTGCTTATTAAGTGTACAGTAAAACAGTCTTAGCTACACGTTAATAAAACCTTCCCTTTCGTTTATATTTAAATTATTATATCTAATATATCTCATGCTGTTTATACCACTCTTGTAAAATAGCCTTAGCAACACTTAAATAAAACCTTCTTTTTGTTAATTGTTTAGTATTGAATGATTATATATTGTATAAATCATGCTGTTTACACCACTCTTGTAAAACAGCCCTAGCAACACTTTAGTAAAAGCCCTTCCATTTGTTTATTTTTTTGTATTGAATGATTAAACTTTGTATATGTCATGCTGTTTACATAGATATGTTGATATTATATCAATAAAAAATCCACATATTGTCATACATCTTTTTTTATTGCATTATCATTTCATGCTTGACAAATTTTGTCTGTTATGATAGAGTTATCTCCCTTTAATATGATACAATGACCAATGATATTTTACAACATCAGTATCCACTGTGATACTGACACACGCCAATATAAACAATAACAAAACATCAACAATTTACTCAAGATTTTACAACTTGGATGTATCGGCATGAGGGTAGATCTGGGTACCAGTGAAAAAAGCCTGTCCCCAGATAAATAATATATAAATCAAAATATTTCTTATGAATGAGTATTAAATGAAAACAAATGAATGAAAAGGATTTCCCTTGTTGAATGGTATATACAAAAATCTTTGGTTCATTTCTCCTGCAAAATAAAATATGAAATGAGCAGAAAGGAAGAATGGAAAAGCGATCAATGTTCCATTAATAATTGAGTATCCTGAACAGTAATATGATGCAGAGAATTAAAATTGTAACAGTGCATAAAATTTATAAAACTGACAGTCACATCAAAAACAATATAACATTTAAAATACATTAAAATTTAATACATAAATTGATTTGTTTTTCTTTCAAATACCTTTTTCCCCATTGATTCATAAATTATAAATTGTGTAATAATCACATAAAATCCATCCGTGTTCCGTAAATGTTGCATAAAACACTAAAGGTAAATTGATTTTAATGTATTTCATATTATAATCATTCAAAAGGTTTTTTTTCTTTTTTTTATCAAACATTTAATAATAAAATGTAGATGTTCATTTCCATTCAAAACTCTTTCAAAATGAATAAACAGTTAACATAAAAATCTTGATTAATATACTATTTTTTCTTATCTTATCAATAAAATCATCCTAAAATTTGTATAATTATTAAGATTATTTTCTTATATATTACATATGTTTATTGTATCATCTTTCCTTGCAATAAGAAAACAGAAATTATAGCCTTTTATGATAGAGCTGTTTTTTTTTCAATATAAGGCTTTACAGCAAATGCAAATATTTTCGTGGGTTGTTTGTTTTGTGATTTCATGCATAAACCTTTTGTGCTAGGGTTAAGTTTGTTCATCAACAGTAAGTTCACTATTCACATCAATAATTCTACAAACTATTTGGCGGTGATATTTTACATGCAAATTTAAGTGAAAATAACCCCAGCGAGAAATTTTTTTAGTTGATTTACTAATAAATAAAATATTAAATTAAAAGTAAGATTTAATTTTGAATAGAAACTTTTACTGCATGTTCCAAAAAGTTTTGGTTATAATTTACACCGAACTTAGTGCGCATACCACAGGTCACAATTTAAAATGTATGGCAATCATTGCCTGGAATAACATATATCACATCCTAACTAGTTTTACAAAAAATGATGGAAAATGACAACAGACATATTCCAACAACCATTTGCAATCCATGGATAATAATGCTTTGGATTAAAAATAATAGCCAAAATATGAACAATTCATAATTCCCACTCATCATTCTGAGTTAGCATATTCTGATTAACTGAAAAAAGCAACAACTCTCTCACAACCATGAGATATAAATACTGAGATTAATTAAAGCCATCATATATAATTTGATTGTAAGGAATGTGACCTATAAGAGTTAAAAATGTAGAAGACAGTCCAATACTAAAGGTATTTTCTCTGAATTTCTTTCAGATATTTGAAGTATAAATGCTATTAGACAGAAAAACTGATTATGCATTATGAACCTTTACAATCAAGAATGCAATTCATTCTGCGATCCCATTCCAGAAAAGATTTTGATTACATAATCATTGCCAAATAAAGGCAGTACCTTTTAGTTTTTATTTTAAATCATGTAAAAATCAACAAAATTATGCCAGAGCCCCCCTCCCCTCTCCTTTGACTTTCTTCCAACTTATGTCTGTAGTCACAAAATATAAAAGAGAATGTGGCTGTGTCAGAAACCAATTATATAAAGAAATTGTAATCACCAATTATTGATTGACAATAGCAGAACTTAAATAGAACACAATCACCTCTGTGACTGTAACTTTCTTTTCCAAATGATATAAACATAAACAATCCATGTGGTAACCTTGTCTCCTTGTAAGTACTCAATTATATTTAGATTGTTAAATGACTTTCTAGAAAACTGTTTGTTGATGATATCAAAACTGCACAGGGGAACTCAGGAATACGTTAAAGCTACCTGAATAAGCTGTTTAACTCAAGTTATTATTTGGTAACAATTTTTTATATTTTATAGTTCAAATCGAAATGGAATTGAGCCTGTACAAGAAAATTGGTTAACACATAAACAGTTTATGCTGTAAAGGGTCACATTCCTTCGTAATAACAGAATATTTTGATTATCGTTACAATTCTCTTAACACTTTGATTGTCATCTGCATACATGTTAAATATATAATAATATACACTGATATGTTCATGCTGTTATCAAGATATAGGGTTGATTTTATGTACAATACAATGTTGTGGGACTTTGGTTTTATCTGAATGCTGAAAAATTTATGGTTAAAGCACCAAAGAATATAAATACTATTACTCTGTACAAAGTGGGTCACAATACCCTAATTTTAGGGAGCTTTAAATTGCATAATGGGCTAATTTCCTAAATGACAATATGCTTCTTAAAGCTCATTTTGATATACACTTTACTGACTGACTAAACACACTTGAATATGTACCTTCAATTTACTTGTTAGTGATCTACTTGTACTCTGAATGCTATCTTCTAATATATAACTTTGAGTTCAATGTATTCTGAATGCTAAGTTCTAACAAGTAACTTTGAGTTCAATGTATTCTGAATACTATATCTAATAACTAATTGAGAGCACCTTTTTCTGTGATATATTCTTTGGTTTTAATAATGAATTAAAATTGCTTAGAATTCAAAGACTGTTTTAAAATGAACTACTGAACTTTCATCTTGTTTATGTATATATATGAGCAATAATAATATTTTTGGACCAATTAAGTTGTACATGTAAGGATAAATATATTGCATTCATTAGAACATAAAAAACATGAAGCACTTTAAACAGTACATATATCATGGTCACTGTTAACATAACCTTTGTTAAACAAAAGTTATCAGGATTAAATGTCATTCTAAGGTCAATCCTGTGACCTTTAACACATGGTCTGCATCACTCTCCAAAAAAGATATATTAAATACCAATTTTACAATATATAATTTTATAAAATCTCTTTAGGACGTAAAAAATATCAACAACGTCAACAACATGAAGCTTTCCTTTCCGTGCACATAAATCTTTGGTTCGTGTCAAGGTTATCTTAACCTCCTATGGTCCAATTGTCAACAATGGCAGTTCATGGCACAACTGTCCCACAATGCAATGCTGACAGGAAACAGTCTATTGCATGATGGGAAATGACATCACACATGGTCTGGAATAGAGGCAAGTTTTTTTGATGGCAGAAATTTCTGTCCTTATCACATATCAGAGGTAGTTTAATTCTAATGCATGATTTAAGGCAGCTAGGTCGGAATGGTTTGATATCCTCCAGAATGGAAAATTCATCTGCAAATATAAAATAAGATGTACAGAATATATGTATATCAAAATTACTATATATAAGCTGTTAAAATAGAGATATGTCTAGTCTGTTTAACCTGGTTAAAAACTTTGACAATTGTTGACCAGAAGACTCTAGAAACAGTATACCCAAGTCTTGCTTTTGAGATTTTAGTGACTAAAGTTTGAGGCTAGACAAAATTTGCCAATCAATTCCACTCAAACTGGTGATTGAGATAGCCTTGAACTTTCAGTGAGGTGTGAGCTTTTGTTTCCTGATAACCTCATTGTGACTGAGACGAAAAATTAATTAAAATTTTATTATTTGGTTTTGTTCGTTTTCAAATGCATAACGTTAGGGTTTTCATGTCAGGAATCAATGCAGTATACTTCTTTTCAAAATCTATTACAGTTAGAAGTAGAAAAATATCATATACACTTTATAAAATAAATATAATCATCTGCTGTAGGATCAGTGTTCATAACAGAAATGATTTGGTATGATTTCCTGAAAGACAACTATCAACCAAATGACATGGATGTAAGCAACAGCTTTTTTACTCACTACTGTATGCCTACCAGAGCAATTTTCTAGATACTGGCCTGTTTTGTTTGTTTAATTGTTTAGTGACTATTGTGTTTCTTGTTTTTTTTTTCTTCAAATTTGTCCGAACACATTATTACAAGTTGTATTCATTTTTATATTTTCAAAAATATTTCTGGGTTGTTGATACACATTACTTACTTGTTTTGATGCTTGTTCTTCATCACGGCCGTCACCAACGACAACATATGTACACTTCCTGCCAAATCTTGCAACTATTCTGTCAAAACAACTATCTTTTCCTACAATATATTAAGAAACAGGTGTACTTTCATACTTCTAAGCTGATTCTTACTGATAAACTTATGTTATCTTTTATTGACAAAAAATTCATAGTTTGTGAAGTGCTTTTTTGTACCTATTGCTGGCATTTTTTCCTCAATTTTATAATATGCATACTATAAAATATTATACAAATGGTGTTAATGCTACACTGTCATGTGTGATCCTTTTATAAAAGAATGAAATAAGCTTGTAATGCATGTGAACTTTGTCTGATTCTGAATAAGAGCACAAAAATTTCATACTGTTAAAGTTTGTGAGGTACACATTTTTCTCCAATTCTTTTTTATTCATTAAGTCAATTATTTCTTATACCCAAATATATACATACTTCCTATTGATATGTAACAAACAGCTTTTAAGACATCCAGACAAAAATTAAAATCGAGGTCCAATATTTTTGATTCCAAAAGTCTGTGGTTATCAACTATATTTTCAACAAGTGTAATGTAAACAATAAAATTCTGCTAAAATTCTCCCAGAAAATGTACTACATGAAATTTGTCCTATTTTTTTGGCCATTATTGACTTCTTTTTTTTTTTTGCTTTTCAAAAATCATTTGGTCAAATTTATTTCAGATACTGTGGATTCATTTATTTTCGTGGGAACCAATTTTCGTGGATTGAGGAAAACTTGCATTTTCGTGGATATTTGATTTCGTGGTTTTGCCAAAGTCTGCATAAATTCCTATAGAAAATTAGTAATTTGTTAAACCTTGGAATTCGTGGTTCCCGGGTAACCACAAAATCTAAGAATAATATCCAATGAATAATAATGAATCCAGAGTACCTGAAGTCAGAAGGCTTTAAAATGGCATTTACCAAAGATTGCCACAAACAACAAAGATTGGATTCCAATAATAAATGTGGTCACTTACCTATTTTTGTAGCACTGTAAACATTTTCTATATTGAACACACCTCCAAGACCATATAATAAAACTTTAGCTAAAGCTGGAACCAGTTGTGTGGTTGTGACTAGTACATTAACACAGTTTGACCTGGAAAGTAAAAGAATCAGTAAGGGAACCAGTCTGGTACTTGTTCCTAATGATTACCATGACTCTTAACAAAGAAATAGCTAATCAGTTAGGAATGTTGTAAAAACAGTAAATAATGAGTTAAGGAATCAGTCATATAGATATGAACTCAGTCTAATTTGCCTTTACAAAAGTTAAGGAATCAGTCATATAGATTTGTACTCAGTCTAACTTGCCTTTACAAAAGTTTAGGAATCAGTCATATAGATATGTACTCAGTCTAACTTGTCTTTACAAAAGTTAAGGAATCAGTCATATAGATTTGTACTCAGTCTAACTTGCCTTTACAAAAGTTAAGGAATCATTCATATAGATTTGTACTCAGTCTAACTTGCCTTTACAAAAGTTAAGGAATCATTCATATAGATTTGTACTCAGTCTAACTTGCCTTTACAAAAGTTAAGGAATCATTCATATAGATTTGTACTCAGTCTAACTTGCCTTTACAAAAGTTTAGGAATCAGTCATATAGATTTGTACTCGGTCTAACTTGCCTTTACAAAAGTTAAGGAAACATTCATATAGATTTGTACTCAGTCTAACTTGCCTTTACAAAAGTTAAGGAATCAGTCATATAGATTTGTACTCAGTCTAACTTGCCTTTACAAAAGTTAAAGAATCATTCATATAGATTTGTACTCAGTCTAACTTGCCTTTACAAAAGTTAAGGAATCAGTCATATAGATTTGTACTCAGTCTAACTTGCCTTTACAAAAGTTAAGGAATCAGTCATATAGATTTGTACTCAGTCTAACTTGCCTTTACAAAAGTTTAGGAATCAGTCATATAGATTTGTACTCGGTCTAACTTGCCTTTACAAAAGTTAAGGAAACAGATATGAATTCACGTCAGTTGTTTGAAACAAGAAGTTACTTGAAGAAAACGACTAAAATAAATGAAACAACAGTATCAAATATATACTCTCAAATACAAACAACAGTATCAAATATGTACTCTCAAATACAAACAACAGTATCAAATATGTACTCTCAAATACAAACAACAGTATCAAATATGTACTCTCAAATACAAACAACAGTATCAAATATGTACTCTCAAATACAAACAACAGTATCAAATATGTACTCTCAAATACAAACAACAGTATCAAATATGTACTCTCAAATACAAACAACAGTATTAAATATGTACTCTCAAATACAAACAACAGTATCAAATATGTACTCTCAAATACAAACAACAGTATTAAATATGTACTCTCAAATACAAACATTAAAGCAATCCCTAGAATGCATGTACATTCTGATGTTATCATTAGTCATCAATTTCATATTAGAACCAGTCACATTTAACACCTTGAACAACAGTCTATAATCCATTTAATAATAATGCCAACCTAATGTCTGCTGTTTGTACCTTAAACTTACAGTCTGTGAACTTTTTTCAAGCTTTTATATAGATATAGGAAGCTGTGGTATGAGTGCCAATGAGACAACTCTCCATCCAAGTTACAATTTATAAAAGTAAACCATTATATTTTACATGGAATTTACAAATGAAGGCATTTTGATGTCCCTACCTTGAATTTATAATCTGTAAGCATTTTAATGCTAGTGTGAGCCAGTTGTCAGTTAAGGTTTCAATATCTTGCCGTACTTGTAACCAATTGTCTCGTTTCTGTTGACCAATTAAACCTGTAGAACAAAACACCCATTACATCTTTTGAAAGCTTGTACTAATATATTTGGTTGGTTTTCTTTTTAAACATGAGTGTGACATAACTCATATTCATTATCATTATAATCAGAATTGGAATATAAAATTTGTTAAAATAGTATAACCGTAATTTACTTTTGTGTAATTGAACTTTCTACAAGAGAGGGAAAGGGTTTTGGATAACTAATTCCCAAAAATAGAAAAAAATCTATTAAAATGCTATTAAAAGCTGATCTTTGAACCCTTCTGATCTTTATATGCTAATCTTGTAACCTTTTTAAAGGTAAGCATGATAGAGATTCCTTGTATGGCAAGCTTACATTATCATTCATATAAAGTTTGAATCAACTTTGAATTAGTATTAGGTGTATTAATCAGAATCCCACTTCCTAGAGTAGAATGAGGCAAAGAAAAATTAATTCTATTTACCTCCAACATTATTTCTGTAACTATTATATATTTCCTTTATCCTCCTATATCTAAATGCTAATTTCCTCATCCAATCTACACCACCCCTCATCCCGGCTAATACATTAGGGTTAGTTGCTGCTGCATGGAAACCATCTACAGCAAAATTGTATCCACTAGAAAAAAGACAATAAAAGAGTATTATAAAAATATATGTATCTACAGCAAAACTGTACAAATGAAAAAAATATGGTTTGTTGTAGTGCTATAGCATACAGTAAAGGGCACAATGATTATTGTTTGCGAAATTATTTGTAGTATATTGACAGGAACTATAGCACATTATTGATAATAATGGGCCTCTGGTTATTACAGGAAAATAAAACATAAAACAGTGGAATGTGGATTGTGTTTCATTAACTGTTTGAAAGCTATTACATAATAAAATGCCTTGGCAAAATATGTACACAATGTCCAGCTTTACAGCTAGTTAAAACAGTTATGACTAAGAAATGCACGAAGAGTCAAGTATTTTTTTAATTTTAAAATAACAATTTACTTAATTACTTTTTTCAAACATTTTCTTAATCAGTATATTACTGATACTACTGTAAAACAATGATAATAAACCTGTCCAAATTCACATCTAAGGGTTTTAAATGAAACCTTCAATCAAATCCAAGGCAGAAAAAAATACACCTTCATCTGTTTTCAAGATTATTTATAATCCTTCATTTTTTCTTGAAATGTCATAAAATTTTAAAAATTAAAGAACAGGTTGAATGTTTTTTAGCATTATTATGAGTTTAGTATGGACACCTGCCTATGTCGATGATATAATCCATCTCAAAACCAACTTATAAAACAAGATATATTGGGAGGAAAGATCCTTATCTCTTAAAAGTTAACCTCTCAAAGTAGTGTTATCAACATCAAAGAGGAAGCTTTTTATGTTTTCTGAAATGTTTTTATCAAAAAGTGTGAAAGAATTAATCATGTTGATTTCGTTAATCAAGCTAAGGAGGGTCATCATGATTTGTAACGATTTATAGCTCAATAAATTTTAACTGGAACCTGACATGTCAAGAAATTACTTTATTCTTATCAAAATTTACATGATGCATAATTTTAGCTGCATCTGCATCTTAAACACTAGTGATCAAAAGGAATTCCAGAAAACTAAGTCAGAATGAAAGAAATTCTTCCTCTTTTGTCTTCATTAAAGTTCCTTTTTCAGCTTTAATTCTTCCTTTGTTACTAAGAATTGTAAACAGTAACTTAAAAGTTTGAGAAAATAACTTGTGTATCCAAAATATACAGGCATAACAAAATCTTACTTTATAGGCTATAGAAGTTATACAGAATTGCCTTAAAGTTATAAACTCATCTTTTTTTTACGGTATTATTTTAAATTGTTATAATAATCATTTGAAAATAATACATTGACCATTCATACAAGCGAATACTAATAAATAGGTGACAAAGTGTGATCCGTCAGTTTTAAACATTGATTTAAGCCTAGAATCTCTTACCCTTTATGATATTCAAATTCATAGATTCAAATCATCAACATGATAAAAAAAAAATGGAGATAAAAACGTCCCAAGGGGCAAATAAAGCTCCAATCATCAGTAAAATAATTGTGACAGTTCGCCTCTTATTTTAGTATTAGACAATTATACATGGAATAAAAACCAACTTTTTAAATATCAACCAACAATTTATAGCTTTCTAATGATCTAAATTGATATTAAAATTTAATGAATTATGGTTTATTGGTCCATAAATGATAACTCATAAATAAAAAGTAAACTTTACAATTGTGAAAATATTCTCCAGATCACCTGACCGTGACTTGGTAGAACTGATGGGTATATGAATCTATCACTTATTCAAATGTATACAATAGGATTCTCTCTGGCATTTCCCATTTAATTCATGTTGTCATGTCAAAAAATTCATCATCTTCGTAATCTATTAATCTATCCAATAACCACAAATAGAAAATGATTTATACGGTAGCATATCCCATCGCGCCAAACAGACATTTATTGGTATATGATAAACTGATGTCACCAGCATAGAATTATCCATGACAAAAATCAACAGTGTCTTTATACCATGCAAAATACCACGCATTTTGAGAAAGTTTGTTTTCTAATTTCTTGACATACATCTATCTTTGTCATGTAAGTCTGTGAATTCTATGGATAAAATTGATATCGACAAAGTTTTTCTTTTCCGAAAGGAGATTTATGCAGTAGATGTACTTGATATTGGGAATTAAACTTTTAAAAATTTCTCAGAACCCTATCTCACATTTTAAAGAACCCCATTGTTCACTTATCTTAGAAAACTACCTCATACTTACTGTTCAAACAATAAATTTTTTTCACATCATTTTACCTAAGCAGGAAGGAACTGGACAATAAAAAAATTAATTAACTGTTAAAGCTCAGACACCTCCTTTCCCCCTACTTCTATGGTCCCTGTGTAACTATTCCCATCAGACCCTCTATCTGTCCATGTTCCCAGTTTGACTTCTAATAAACCCTAATGTTGACCTGAATTTACCTCAAATCTTGTCCATTGTCATCAGATGACACATCATCAATGTGGACTTGGTCGCATTCCTGTCAATAGACAAAATACTCAGTCAACCAACAAATAATTATATATTTGACACAGTAAAACATTTTTACTCCTTAAATTCTTTGTTAAAGTGACGATTTTATGTGCTTTAAAGTCCATATATTTTGTGACGGCATAGCGCTGACATTATTGTTTAGAGATGACATTGACAGAATCTTTTGAAATAGCAATCTTTCTCTGAATGTGTTTTTCCTACAAATTAATTGAAACTGTTATTTAAAATATGTTACAAATATACTCTATAAAATGACAGTTCCACAGGAAATGAAATACATTCTCAAATATAAAATTGATAACTTGAGTACATGACATTATTTCTAAAGTTACTCAGTAATTTTATCAATAAATGAATAACAAATTTTTTTTTTAAATATTTAGCGGTTTTTTTTCTTTCACTATAGTCTAGATGAAATCTAAAGGGAAAATCAATTTTAACTTCAGGGTTCTAATAAAAAACACAACCATCTTTTTCAACGTAAATAATGATTTGTAGAACAAATTAATATTTCCTTTTCTTATTTGTAACCAGTTTTGTCGTAAAAGATTTCAAATCAGAATAAATTTCCATTTAATTCTACGAATATGACAAGCTTAGGGGTAAATGTTATATTTTTCTCTTTAAGGGGGAATCTGCTCATCCTAATTTCCTCCATACGTTTGGACCTGTAACAATATTTCCTGTACTGACAAAAGACGGAGAATTCCATGGAGCAATTATCTTGGTTAATGTTTACACTTTGTCATTATGACATTACCTAAGGCGAGATTTGCCATAGAATGGAAGGAGGAATTCATTTACATTTTAAGTATGGAACACATTCTAAATATGATAAGCGCCTAAATCAATTACTTTGATGTGAATTTAAATCTTCTCCCTTTTGTACTGAGTGTCACTAACGCAGACAGTAAAAACATTTCAATATCATTTTTTTACAATTTTATTTTTTGGGGGTATTTTCTATTAAACATATGGAGAGTAAATTAGACAGAGAACTACCAAAGTGTAATAAAAAAGCTGCCACTTTTTAATGTTATTAATTCACCTAAAAACAGAGCAATTTATTAAAACTCAATAATCAGAAATTCAGTTTATTGATAGTGTGTATCGAGGCTACAGATCACTACGTTTTAATAAAATTTCTATTATTTTGATGTAGTTTTATAGTTTATTATAAATAATCTAGATATATGAGCTGTTTATTTGTGTACAAACTATCTGATTATCTTTCACCAAAGAAATGAAATTTACCATTTAAAGAGCAATGGAAACAAAGCATAGATTCCAAATACATACTTGGCCTAACAGATGTTTAAAAACATCAAGTTTGGACTGAACATCTACAGGTTTCAAAGTAATCTTAAACATTATAGATATGTTCATCGTAGAAATGAAGTCAGAAAATTATTCCAAATAAGCTACTGATTCAATCATTGTACATGGACTTGGGCATGTGTTCCCCAAAGGGATTTCAGAAATATTAATTAATTTCTAGATATTTATCAAATATGTCACTGGAAGTGTTCCATATTCCCTAGACAGGGGGTCCATCAATAGGTCAGCTTTATTTAAAATGTTAAGTAGCTTGTCTGTAAAATACCAAATAAAATCAGAAGGGATTTCAGCTATCAGTACTAATCACTTAATTCCAATACTTTACATTGGCACCAACACTTATCATGTAAACAACTTTGGACTGCAACCTGCAAAGGAGTTCTTTAAAAAAAAAAAGAGGAAGTGAGCCTCTTCTAGTAGTTTGAAGTGCATTCAAGCTAAATAACCATAAATGAGTTTATGAAAACCAATACCAATATATAGCTATAAATGTCTGTAGTAAATTTTCTACCATATAAAAGAAATGATCAGATGTGTACAGTATGTTTTTAAACACTCTATAAATATATTTATATGGTCACGTACCTCTAAATCATTAAAAAATAAATGTGTATCTGCTAAATTAAATATCATTTCTTCCATCCGTAATCCTAACTGTACTGTTTGTTGTGGATCCTGAAAAAAATTAAAAATTCAGCTCTAAAATTTTTGTGGCCAAAATCAATTTTCTAATATGTTAAAACACATAATTTACTTCTCATCTTTCATGTAGACTTAGTAAACATAACGTCCATGTCATTTGAACTATATTTTAGTTTAGTGTGACGTCCATTTTCTCTGTCTAGTACACATTTTTATTTAGGGGCCAGCTGAAGCCTGCCTCCGAGTGTGGGATTTTCTCGCTGTTTTGAAGACCCATTAGAGGCCTTGGACTGTTTTCTGCTCTTTGACACATTCCCCTTTTCCATTCTCAATTTTATTATTATTATATTATAATTATATGAATAATTGTCTCATTGGCAATCATATCACATCTCGACATACATATAAAGGATTCTATTTTTTCATGTGTCCTTGGTCTCCTTCAAATTTATACTAACTTCATGACAGGTAAAATTTTCAAACTATATTACAATTGAAGACTCAATGGAGAAAAAATTTGAATGAAATGCTGCTTAGAAATTTTAAATACATTTTGTTTATATTTTTTTGACAGCTATTTTACATTTTTTTCCCAATATGTCTCTAATTTAGAATTAGCTACTGTTTGCAGCTTTATCAAATTTGATATCATTGAGTTAATTGTAAACAAACAAGTGTCATAAAGTTCTAAGAGCCACACTACAGCAATGTTTCATATAGTACCATGTCTCTACTCCATAATAACAGCTTTAGCTATTATATTTGAAGGAGCTATACAAATGCTCTTTTCTTTACTGAGAACACTCTTGTCTTGGGGATAAGAAGACATCGTGTGGCGCTCCTTCAGTCGTTGAGTATGACACTAACAATGTCCTGAGAGGCTACATTATCAATATAATTACTAACTGACAGATTTTAATCAATTGTCAATTATTTCTAAACCCAACTTAATTAGTAAAGGCCAACGTTTTTGGACTGTTGTTGTTTTTAGTTAATAACATAAGTTCTTTTATTAAAATGAACTGCTATACATGGATATGTATATTTTTATTTTTTTATGGATAGTAGTTACAATATAACCCAGTATATCAAAAGGGATATATATGAAATCTATATAATCTAAATAAATCTCAGATAGCTCTTTCCTTCTACAGTTTTTGTCATATCTTAATTAAACAATAAAACCTTTAAAAATGAAAGACATAAGAAAAACTTTAGACTTTATATGAGTGATTACATAAAAATACAGAGCACATCTAATTTTTATTATTATTTGTTTTTAATAACAAAAAGTAACAGGCATATAAACCTTTTCAGTTGGGAGTTTGATTTCATTTTCCTGTATAATATAGTTAATATATTTACATTAATATAATGCAGACACAAAATTGATTTATCATGCAAAAGTGTTCTTCAATTTCACTTCGATTTCTGTTATGAATTGTTGACTTCATATATTTGCTTTCCCTAGATGCTCAACACCCCACCTTTCAGTGAAAAACAAAATCATGTCCCATCCGCTGAATACGAATACATACTGTAGTGCAAGTTTTGTTTCTTATATCAATGAAGATTCAATTTAAAAAAATAATTTTCAAAGTTGAATTTTAAATAATTTACGGAGAACGCCATGTAATAGAAACTGACTCTTTAATTACATGAAGTCGGAGCTTTTAAACGTAATTTGATATTGTTCAATGACATAACATAATAATGGCACTGAATTGGTTAAATACTTTGAACAGTTTATATTTACACAATATAATTAGACCAATTAATGAAAATCTTTTATTCCCCAAAACTTTGATGATAGACTATCAATAAATTAACATCATTTAAACTGATGAAAGTTTATGATAAAATTTTATCATTTATTCTATAAAAGATTTTCTAGGTAATTATTTTTATTGGTGATAATTCTGGCGGACTGGTCTGCCATTTACCATCTATAGAATCCATTTGTGGTTTTGACAATCTGGTTGCTAATCGGTGGACATGTTGTTAACGAAATCTAAAGAGAATTGCAATTTCTGTCAATTTAACAAATAAGTGTCTTTCTATAGAGCCATAAACAGAAATTACAGGAGATTTCTGTATGTGAACAAGATGCTATAATTAGATTTTGTACTAAATTTCTGAAAGCTTTCTATCATAGATACAACACTATTTATCTAAAACAAGCAGACAACAAACTTGATAAAAGCGATTAGTACAAGAAATAATTCTGTAATATTTGATTAGAAAATTCTTTTTTTTACCACATTGACATAATTGAGCTAATCAAAAAGGGAAATACTATTTAAACGTTTTCTGTTAAAATCATGACTAATAAAAATGTGGCATAGCTTGTTAAATAAAATTAGAAAATATATAAAATGGTACCAATTACTCCAGTTTTTGACATATTTATTGGTTGTAAATGTTTCATGCTGAATCCTAACAATTAAATATTTATTCAATTTAAATACATAACTCATATTTTGGACCACGTCCTCATTTCCACATTAGGATTAATTCAATTTAAGTCATGACACTTTAGAATGATGAAAATGTTGTATAGAATTCCTAAGTTCATTTAATGTTTATATCTAGCAATGATCAATTAAGATGATTAGTGATATCTACTGATACTTCTAATCAATCTCAGTTCTAACATATTTATATATTGGCATTGATTATTATATCAATTATGAACTGAGTTTACTAAATCTTCCAAACTTTAAGAACCATTGCTCTCTAACTCAGACATAATTTCATTTCAAACCGTTTTTTTTTTTTACGATTTTAGATTCATGATATTTTTTACATCAACTACAGGGATGTTTATTATAACCTTGACTACTGATAAGGGTCCTGTTAGGTCAGAAAACCTAATGAAGACTTCCAAACTAGAATATTGTAAAAAGAGTGCAAACTGGTACCCAGTGAAACAGAACTTATCATTCACAACAAAACAGTTGACCAGATCTTTAAGATCATGCTAACTTTGTTTACTCTCATACCCTTTGATTGTTGTTCCTCCGCTCTCAGAAAACTTTCAATACCCAATAATATTTATAATTCCTCAACTATCTATCATAATATCAATAGTCACATCAAGATTAGCATGTGATAAAGTGAGAATTGTGAAAATTAACTGAAGAGTTCTACAAAGGGAGATAAGAACATGGAACAGCTGCTGGTTGTCACAAATAATATACAAACAATCTGTAGATAAAACCTTGTTTGTTTTTCCTGAGGAACAAAATTTGTAATTATGACAGATGGCGAAAAGAAAATATTACAATCTTGTACTGAATATTGTTTTTAATCAAGAGTTGTGTCTGTCTTCCATCAAAACGTAAATCTCATGTGGTGATCTACCACCATACTTATAACTCAAATTATAATATGAGACAACACCAAAGATTAGCGGTGAAAGTGTACATATTTAGCATATTGTTTGGCAGAAAGCTACAAGGTGGGAAATAAGTAAATACCTCTGCTGAAGTTCAAATCCAGTAAGTTACATATATTGTATTGATGGACTGTCCACTAGCAATTCTAGATTGTATAGAGGAGGTATTTCATCCTTGAAGTATAATTTAAGATATGACAGATGTAGTGACGAAGAGGGTTATGCCAATCAACAAAGCACTCCCTTCAAAACACCTCCAACTCCTTAAAACGTGTCACAGTTTTCTGAATAAGATAAATATCTTCTAGTTCTTCCAATGTGATGGAGAATGAAGACTATGTATCTACACTTTTCAATAACTGACCCATAAGAGCACTTAAAACATTGTCATTGGTTTTTTTTTTTAAATACTTAGGATTTTATGTAATAGTATGTAGTCCATTTTAATCTTGATATAGAGGGAAATAATTGCAGACATTTCAGAAATTGGTAAATTCCCACTGACTAGTAAATAATGTCATTTATATATTGTCCTTCTCTTGAAAATGTGTAAATAACAAATCTATGAATTATATTTTGTAGCAGATCTTTACGATAATGGCCTTATTCAAATACATTAACTTTGAAGCAATACAGAATTGTAGGAATGGAAAACAGAAAGCATTAAAAGTAACAACAAATACATCAAAGGTTCCAGGCATGAAGGCCAGACAATAGCCGAGATTAAAAAAGCAAATAAACAATAAAGGTAACAACCTCTAATCGACAATTATTATGGAGATTGAGGTACAAAAAGTCTCATGGGTACTATGTTATTTTCAACAATCGTAGGAAACGGCACTTGTTTAAATATTGAAAGTCATTAAATGATTACAGTTATATTGACAAACATTTTCTCTGCCCATTATTGCTCGAAGGATCAAGCATAATTTGTTAAAATATTTGAGTCATACCTTTTTGCTCTATTTTGTTTAGGAATTAGAATAAAAGAATGATCATTTTGATCTGGAAATCCATAATTATTGTCATATTTGATAAAAAAAAATCTATAATTGTAAAAATACTAATTCAAGGTTTTTTTAAACAGAACAAAAACTAGAACTCCGATCTAAATGAAACATATTTAAACATTAAAATGTTTTATGATGTTTCTAATGATAGCAAACACTTTAGAGAAGGAAAACAGGGTGAGTATGTCAAGCAAATATTAATAAACAGCTGCGCCATAAGCGCATGATACGCCCGTCATCTTGTGTGTGAATTTTTATGCAATAAGCATAAATAGTTTCTGACATACGGCGTGACATGCGAAAACCCCCTTTTTTTTTAACAAAAAACTCAATATCTCTAAAATAAAATTTTGAATCATAACCAAAAAGTATACAGATCTTTAGATTAATATAACTAAAAAGTGTGTAAAATTTTAAGCAATAATCATAAATCGTTTTTGAGATAACCGCGACATGTGAAAACCCCCCTTTAAAAAAAAAAAAATCAATATCTCAAAAATAAAATTTTGAATCAAAACCAAAAAGTATACAGATCTTAAGATTAATATAACTAAGAAGTGTGTAAAATTTTAAGCAATAATCATAAATCGTTTTTGAGATACGGCGCGACATGTGAAAAACCCCTCCCCCTTTTTTTACAAAATACTCAATAACTCAAAAATAAAATTTTGAATCACCACCAAAAAGTATACAGATCTTAAGGTTAATATAACTAAGAAGTGTGTAAAGTTTTAAGCAATAATCATAAACTGTTTTTGAGATACGGCGCGACATGTGAATAACCCCTCCCCCTTTTTTAACAAAATACTCAATATCTCTAAATTAAAATTTTGAATCATCACCAAAAAGTATACAGATCTTAAGATTAATATAACTAAGAAGTGTGTAAAGTTTTAAGCAATAATCATAAATTTTTTTGAGATACAGCGCGACATGTGAAAAAAAACACACACCTGTTTTAGTTACTAAGTCCCGTAACTCAAAAAGTTTTAATCTTATTTTCACCAAAAAGTATACAGATCGTTTGACCATCATAAGAAACAACTATGTTAAGTTTCATGAAATTTGGATAAGTCATTCTCAAGTTACGGTGCGACATGTTTACGCCGGACAGACAGACGGACAGACGGACATTTGTATACCATAATACGTCCCGTCAAAAATTGACGAGTGTATAAAAACAAAAACCTTCATATGCATCTCTTTTACAACAAAAATATTCACAATGCCTTTAAAAAATAAAAGATACTAAAACCTATGATCAGGATAGTACAAATTCCCTCTAAACTTTCCAAAGAGTATGAAATTTGTATGGCAGCAATAGACAAAAAACTCAAACAAGCACCACTGAAGGTATGACTTCTGAAGTCAAACAAAAGCCTGGAGTGATTCAAACTGATACAGAAATATATGTCTATCCAACTATACATGCAAAAAATTTGTCCCAAACAACAACATTGAAGATTTACTCACCTTTCCATATCGTTGTGCATACACTCCTGTTAGTAATGAATGAAATATAATAATTGTCTCGTCTAAATCCCACACAAATACACGTTCTAAATCAGACTCAGGTCCAGGTGAAGGATTTGTTCTTCTGCCTGCTCGACTACCACTTCTTCTCTCTATAATACAAAATATTCTAATTAAGATGCCATTTCGAGTTCCAAGTTTAACATTTGCATAAAAGTGAAACGAACATAAAAGATTTTTTTTATAAACATTTTATTTTACTAAACAATACCTTCTGGTTTGATTGCATGTAGATAAATCTGAAGGCAAATTTACAAAGTTTATTTTATAATGTTTGTTGATATAAGTTAAGAATCTACTTACTTGTGCTATTTGTAGATGATAATGGAGGTGAGGGACTTGGGATCTGTGAAGAATACTGAGGATCAGCTGAAAAAAAAACACAGAGATATTAATTCTCAAAAAATAGAAAAGAGAAAAAAACATGAATATTGCTGTTTACCTAAAGGAAGTGCAAACTATGAATATTAGGTATCAGCTTGTGAAAAGAGAAATGGTAAAAAATGTGAATACATGAATTGAGTTTTAATGACAAATCACAAAAATGTGGAATGTGTATTCAGTTTTAATGAAATTACAAAAATGTGAATACATGTATTGAGTTTTAATGACAAATCACAAAAATGTGAATACATGTATTGAGTTTAAATGAAATATCAAAAAACTGTGAATACATGTATTTTGAGTTTTAATGAAAAATCACCAAAAAAATGTGAATATATGTATTGAGTTTTAATGAAAACTATTGAATTTAGCTTGAAGGTCTCTGTTAACTCAGATATATGCTCCCCTGCTTTGAAGCAAAAAAAAATAAAAATAAAATTTCATGTACTAATATTATTGCATTTTCCAATTTAAAGGAGAATGACTTTAGCAGTCAGACTTCTTAAGTCCATTATAAACTAGAAATTCAGATTCTACAGATGATTTTTGATCAGATAAGAAAAAACCCTCTTAATAATTAAAATTGAAGATAAGTCATACAATACAAACCTTTTCAAGCTAGTTACACTATATTCATCACATGCCATATTTTTGTATTGATGAAGGAAAAAAACCCACTTTAATCAGTTTTAAAGTTTAAGAAAATCATGTCTGATACTAATACATGTAGAATTGTATTTGTCCTGTCATATAAACTTTCCATATATTTGTGAGCCAATGAAATGAGAATTATTTTGTATCTTGCATTTAGGTCTGTTTCAATGACCCACTGACATTGCAGATTATATTTCTGCTGTAAACACAATAGAATAACTTGGCTTAACTTACACCAGTGGCAAGGAACATGATTCAAATCACTTGAATTTTTAAAATAGGATATATTATTGAAATCTTAAAATGGGACTATTGTATTGACATTTTCCAGAAAATTGCCTTAAAAATTAATGTTTCAAGGCTTCAGTATCAATAACATAACATGTAGTATTCTAAATTGTTTTCTAGTAAATTTACAGGTTTCTGTTATAAAAGTACAGTATCAATTTCATTTAAAAAGTTAATGACAAACTGACAACAAATACAAACAAAATTTAAATAGAGAACCAATACTACTAGCACCAATATCAATTCGAAGGAAATAGGTGTACTTACATCTTAAAAAATAAGTTTTACTCTCATAAGTCCATAAATATTTTTTTTAAATCAATAAAAGTGTGCGAACAAGTTGACATATTTTTACTATCAAATTTTTAGCATAATATTGCCTCTTGAAAATAAACTATCTCATACAGACACTATCTCATACAGACATTTATTTATTATAAAATGATAATAGTAAACAAATACAACTCTTTTCTATGAAGACATATTTCATCCATAAAAGAATCAAATTAAACACTTCTAAAATAAGTGCATTTACAGTAAAAACTATTCTTTGACAGTATCAATAAAAACTGACCCCAAAACAAATTTGCCTCAAAACTCATGCATATAAATATGTAGTGTTGCATTGCTGATCTCCTTCACAGTTATTCACAATACAAGCAAGTCCAACCCGGGGTGAAATTACAAAGAAAAGGGACATCAAAGCAATGTATTGACAATTAGGGGTACTAGTATAGAGATCTCTAGGGCTATAGTCAAGAGGCAGTAAACAATTGAAATAGGGGGAAACTGCTAAATTCTAATAAATGGAATGCATTGAGATATTTCATAATAAACTCAAGTATAAAATGATATATCGTTTATCATATTGCATATCATGTAAACATAGTTTTTTTGGAGGCACTGTGGTTATAGAGGGAACACTTTGTTTTAAGCCTGATAAACACAACAATATTCACTGAAGACAAGAGACCTAAACTCCAATTGTATCTACGAACAGACATATCATCAGTAAACATGTCTAGCATATTATATACAGAGCTAACTATTTCCATTTTTTTCAATAGCTAAAACACCCAAACGTTATGAGCTGTCTGTACTCAGAATTTATTTCAATATATTTTATTCAAGAAAGACATTTTTGAACAAAAAAGCTTTTAAGAGACTACAATCTGAGAATTTATTTACACAAATTTTGCATTATTCACAGAGTCCTGACAAGGAAAACTAATTTCCATCCGTTCATCATGACATGAAGCTGGCACTATATTCAATGTGTGACATTTTTTTTAACGCATACCTTTTTGGTATTGATTTTATAATCATTTAAAATGATATCATCAAGGCCAATTCTACAGATATTTTTTGTGATTAATTATACATGTACACTTTCCTTTCTATCTTAAGACAGCTACCAAGACAGATAACTGATTTCTTCATTGGAATTTTTCACATTTCAAAACACTTAACAGATTAAAGAATTAAAAGCCATTAAAATATTAAAACAAACGAGTTGACATTTTGTCTGCTATGTGCGATACTAAAAAGGCCACTTGCATAAAGCATCCAAAACAATCTCCAGCTAGGCAACTGGTATGCAGGATTCATTACAGCATCTTAGTTTTCCTCTTGTCCATGTTATCTGACAAAGCCCATTGTTATAATGATGTTTTATAAATTCAAAAATAACTACTGAGTATTAAAAATTCGTAAGGGGTTCCGTGGAACCCTGTGTATCGCCTGTGATTGCTGCTGTTAGTGTAAAAGTGTGATGTTGACTTAAAAAGTGAGTCCATTCATCAGTAAAATACAGTTTTAAAAAAAAATCCAACTTTCTCTTTAGATGCTATATCATGGTCTTGATGATTAGCTTCTGTCCAAAATTCATAACAATCCATGAAGGTTTACAAATTTATCACGTCAAAAAAGTTTAATCCCAGACTGTCTGTAAATGTTAACTGTTAAAAACTAAGTCCATTTATCAGTAAAATACAGAAAAATAAAAATATTTTTAAATTTTGCTTCGGATACTGTCTTTGGATCATAAACAAGCTTCTGTCCAAATTTCATAAAATCCCATGAAGGTTTGACAAAGTTACTGATGTCTAAAAAAACCTTTAACAACAGACTGAACCTAAATAACACCACCAACAGAATCTAGGATGGCTATGTCTCCCTTTCGAGACATAAATGTCAAAGGCTTGACAAAAAATCACTTGCATCATCGATGTTGAAAGTTCTTTAAATTCATGTGCTCATACTCATGGCATCAGTTCTCCCTTGTCAACTTCTATGACAAAGCTTAGTTTATTATGATACTTATATGGCAGTTTATTACAATACGGAGTGTGATAGCAGTGTAAGAGAATCCAAAGGAGAAAATGTTAAATAAACAACAAATCTTTTTAGTAGTATGATGGGTAGCTCAGCACATTAAATAATGTAGCTATTAGGGGGTGGGGATAAAACAGGTTTATAACTTACTTGTGTCAACAGGTCTTTGACCATTTGGTATATTTGGTATATTTCTTACTACTAAAATTGAAATTTCATGTCATTAAAACACATACATTATATCCCAACAGTTCAATACACAAATATTTAAAACAATCTTTTATGTACATTTGAAATGATATCCACTATGTTTAATTTCAAATCAATTGAAATCTTCCGATTTTTTTCATTTCTACACTGATCTGAGGAAGAAGGAGTTTAGTATTGATTACTTTACTGTGCTTTTATTCGTAACCTCGAGGACAATTCCTCATAGTTATATTGCAGATTTGTATGTTTGGGGGTGTAGGACGTAAAATCAAATTAATGATGCAAACAAATTTTCTAAAAGAAGAAAAACATTACTTTAAAAAATTTCTCCATTCAACCATTTTTAATTAAAGACAAGGAAATGCTGAGCCATAAGTGGTGTTGGATCTGTAAATTTATGTCACCGTAAAAGTTTCAATAAAAACTGTTTTAAGCCATTAATTCACTATAGAGACATTGTCAGAGAATTGGGCATGAAATTTATGTTTGGAAAGCGGACAAAAAGATTTATCATGTGAAAGAATCGAACATCTACGGTGGATAAACAAACATAAACAACACGGTCGAATCAGTCAACCAGAGTTTGTTATTGGGCTACATTTTTGCATGTGAAAACTTTACAGTCAGCGATAAATAATGAATGGTGTATACAACTAGACAATACAGGAGAATTAAAGGTTTCTCGTCATCAATAATTCATTTAAATTCTGGCAAAATCAACTATTAATGTTAAGTAAATTGAAGGAGAAAAATATTTATTAAGTTTAAGGCCATTCATTGAATGAACATGAACAAAAGAGTGACAATCACAAGTCAAAACAAATCATTCAGTGATTATTGTTATTATCATAAACAAAAACTAAACAAAATGTAAGATTCAATTGACATTTTTTTATTGCAGAAAATCTATACTATATAAAAGAAGTAGATTACAAAAGTGCAAAAATCTGAGAAGTATGGTAGAATCTATTTGCAATTCCAAGCGGCCAATAAGGCCATTACTACTAGCCTCCTAAAAATAAGGAAATTACCACTAGTGTCAAAATGAAAAAAGCTATTTCCACAACTCTCACAGAGAAAAAGTCAATAACCGCTAGACTCCCAGAAAAAGATTATTACCAAAGGTCTCCACATGTGCAATAGTGGACCTATTACACTAGGGAACATGACATAACATATACAATAATGGACCACTTACACTAGGGAACTTGACATCACATATACACTAATGGACCACTTACACTAGGGAACTTGACATCACATAAACACTTGTGGACCTCTTTCACTAGGGAACTTGATATTGCATAAACACTAATGGACCACTTACACTAGGGAACTTGACATCACATATTCACTAATGGACCACTTACATTATGGAACTTGACATCACATATTCACTAGCGGACCACTTACACTAGGGAACTTGACATCACATATACAATAATGGACCACTGACATTAGGAAACTTTACATCACATATTTAATAGCGGACCACTTACACTAGGGAACTTGAGATCACATATACACTAATGGACCTCTTACAAGAGGGAACTTGAAATCACATAGGCATTAGTATACCTTACATACTAAAGGCATGTGAAATCACATATACACTAAAACTCTCTCATACCGGTACACAAGACCACTCGACATCACATGTACACTTGTCTAGAAGATCTTTTACACAAGACCACTGGACATCACATGTACACTTGTCTAGAGAATCTTTTACACAAGTCAAGTTCATAACACATTTACAAATTATAAATCTGAGGACATTTATTCACTGATCATTCAACCTGCCAAAGTCTATGAAACAAAATATATGAAAAATATAAATACTTGTATCTTACAAAAATAGAAGCAGACACCATTTTTAAAACACTCTTCAGAGTTAGAGTAGAAAAAAAATGAAAGGCAGTTAAAAAGCCCAAGGCCACAAAAGACAATTTTATAAAGAAGATAATTATTATTTAAGATACAGTAACTTATCAAAAGACTTTATCACTTATCTCAAATATTTAAATGAAACTTTATTTTGTCTATTTTTTTCAAAGCTTTTAAAAATAGAACAGAATAATTCGTGCCAGCTACAGAATACGCCATCGATCAAATTGACATCCACCTATAGAAAACTGGCGATTACACATACATAGCTATTATTAAAAGCCTGTCGTTTCTAATTCATTGTTAGTGTAATTGTCAAAGCCTGTGTCAGTCTTTACAAGCAATGTCAGTAGAAATGAAGCTTCAGTTGAATGACCAGAATCTAACAGTCTAGCATTGTAACTAGGGATGTTTAATATATGTAAATTAACAGCATATAACAGACAAGAAAATATATTAATAAAAACATTTTTGCAATTATAAAAATAATTTTCATTAACATACAATGCCTTATGGGTAGTATTTTCTTCTTACATGGCTGAAAAGCTGGTACCTAATAATTTTATTCAAATAGACTGTTTTTATTTTTGAAGGAAAAAAAATTACTAATTCTATTTCCTTTAACATCTATTTTTACAACCAATTTCTTCCTAAAAGAATTAAAAAAAGTAAAATTTCTGTGTAATGACTCTTTTTGTGGTCTGAAAATTCAAATATGACTGAAAGATTTTTTGTTAACTGTTAAATGGCAATATTCAGGGGGAAAAAACCAACAATGTTTTGGAAAATGGATTAAGATTTTCAACAATTGATAAAAGTCATTACACTATTTGCTCTTGAATAAATCTTAAATATTTTTGCCATATTAAAACCCTCTAAAATCCATGAAAAGTGATTATGAAAAGATGTTGTCTAGAGAAAAACAATTTATTTTGTGAAACCATTTTTTTTGTTTTAAGTTTGTTTGTACCATAGTCATTTAATCAAGGTCAAAGCAATATTAGTACTATGGTTACTGATTCTTCAGTTGAAGCAAAAAAGTTCATTTTGATGCTAATATTAGTTGTAAAATAAAGACTAAAGTTATGCCAAATATTGTTAATCCTTTTTATACTGTACCAAGACTTTTAAATACCGTAGGTGCTCCATACAGAAGACTACTACCAAGGCATGTGCTCTATAACTAATACTATCAAAATTAGGTACCACATAATCCAAAATTCCATTATAATAGGTGCTTTATAAGCCATAAACATGTTCTTTAAAGACAAGACTATCTCTAAATTGATGTTTAATAAGCAAGAATTCTACCAAAGCTTTTGCTGTATTAATGTTCCTTTCAAAAGTTTGTTTTTTGTTAATAAAAGCTCTGAGGCAAAAGATAGAAATTATAATAAAACTGACCTGTTGTTGTTGTGGGGGTATCCATCAAAGTGTAGACTTGTGAGTTTGACGGTGATGCTGTAGCAGTCGTGCTGTTTGCCAGCTGATAGCTTGGGTAGTATGGATTCGCACCGGGATAATTATAACTGAAGCCATCGATACCCTGAAAAACAAAGAATATCAAACTTTGATACCAAAATCATCAAAAGAAAGGGAAATATAAGAAAAAATAAAACCCAATATCAAAACCATTGAAACCATGCTGATATGGTATATCTTGTATCATTATAATGCAAATATTATATTACCATCAAAATGATTCACTTTTTTTTTTCTTGAATTCCATCCCAGATATTATCTGGTGGACAATACCTGATATACATTTTTTGTATATTCAATACCACATACAATATAACACTGAAATGGTACTTATTACTTCCTTTAATAAAAATGTTAACACACATATGAAACAAAATGTAAATAACAGCAAAATAAGGTCTTGTTATGCCTTTTTCTTTATTTCAATAAACAAACACTCTTTCATGTTTACTTTTTCATGTATGTCTCACGCCTGAAGGTCGGGATTGTCAAATGGGAATAAACACCAGAAATCTAGAAAAGGACTCAAACAGAAGGAATAAATATAAGGCAAAATTACAACCTAGTAACCAGAAAAGTCAATTCAAAAGGCATGCACAAAATAGTCAAAATAGGGTCCAACTATAGCAACCGACACTGAGGCCCTAAGAAAAAAGTATAAAAAGAAGAGGCAACACACAACAGTCAAAACTAGCAGCTGAACAGAACAGTCAAAACTAACAGCTGATCAGAACAGTCAAAGAATGTTTATTTGCAACACAACTGGATTTTAGAATTCGTTTATGTTAGAATCATAAGTATTTGTACAAGATCACCTTTAACATTCATTACTGAGATCCAAAATAGAATAGACAAAGCTATAAAGGCCTTAAACATCAATAAAAAGTCAGGGTAAAACAGCAGAGTCAAGCTTACAGTCTTCATGGCAAAGTAAAAAGTCAGGGTAAAATATCAGAGTCAAGCTTACAGTTTTCATGGCAAAGTTAAAAGTCAGGGTAAAATAGCAGAGTCAAGCTTACAGTCTTCATGGCAAAGTAAAAAGTCAGGGTAAAACAGCAGAGTCAAGCTTACAGTCTTCATGGCAAAGTAAAAAGTCAGGGTAAAACAGCAGAGTCAAGCTTACGGTCTTCATGGCAAAGTAAAAAGTAAGGATTAAAGGGAATAGTAACAAATTGTGGGTCTATACAGTAAACAGAAGAGTTGAAAATAAGTTAACATATAAAACTAAGGTCACCTTTGTCTGGGACAAACCATCCTATTTTCTAACTGGCTCCAAACATCTGTACATGTCTATCTATATTTGCACACATTTTTGTTCTTTTTCAAAATCTGCATTAATTACTTTCCCAAAACTGTTGTTAACCAACACCTCAATATCAGATAAAACAAGGTCAATGTATACATTTTTAAATTATTTTTTATGATTTACTAATTTTCTTATGAAAATTTTAATAATTTGAAAATCTGACTTCAATTCTATTGGTATGTATGAAAGTCAGTTCAGTTCATCAATAATAAATTTATAGATGACAAGAATTTATATTTTATATAACATAACTTCCAAATTTACATATAATCACTTAATCTTTCATTAAATTACTTTAATTTTAATCAGGTTTTTAATACTCGTCAAAAACTCCCAATGTATAACTGTGGAAAATTACACAAAATTACCATTTTTATTGCATATAATAAATTTGAAAGATACATAAATTTTTATAAATCCATTCAGATGCTCTTAATATCATGAATACTAAATTATTTTCCAGAAAGATTTAAACATCTGATATTTTTATCATTTTAATTTTCCAAATAAATAATGTAATATAGATTTAATAAAGCGACTATATAAGTCATATTCTTATCGTACTTAATAATCTGGTGAAGAATAGGAAATCATATAAATGTTATTTTCACAAAGTTAATGAAAATTATAGAATATGTGTCAGTTCATAAACAATGAAAAACTAGGGTTTGTCATTTTGAGAAAAAGGCAACATTTATTTTGTGTCAAAATTTGATTTTGTATGCAGATAAAATTAATTTGTTTTGTATGAAGCTTTTAATAAATAAAATATGGTTACTTTCAGTTCAATGCAAAGAAACAATGGTCTGCTAAATTTTCAATCTTCCAAATTTTTCATACTTATATTTTGGTATCTTCCTCCTGATAAATTCTGTATGTATTATACATTCATTAAATTATAATGCATTTTTTCTCAACTTTTTAAACCTTAATGGGTTAAACTGTATTTAGAGTTTTTACTATTTTTCATTATAACAACACTTGACCTCCAAGATAAAGCCCTATTCCTTTGTGACCCCCTCACATTTCTAACATTAGTTTTACCTGTATTTTGTTTTATTAACATGTGTTCTCATTTCTTCCTTAGATTTTTCTGTTATATAATATCAAATGGTAAATATTAAAAGCATACCTAGGATATTGTGAAGGTGGGAACCTACGGGAGGGTTACATGGTTCTAAACACCCTCAATTCTTTCAGAAACTTTGGGAAATTTGTGTAAAACTAGTGAAAATAACTCTGGAACCACATCCCTATTTCTCTTGGCATAACCACAAAACATGCCCTCTTTACAAGTGTTGCTTTTACTAAATTGTGTTTCTGAGTTAATAACACGAAATGAGTAACCAATAATGAAACAAGAGTTTTATGATTTGATCAGTTGTCTTGGATATCAAACTTTGTGGTGTATATTTGATGATATACTTACAGATGACTGTTGATATGCGGCTGCCGCTGCTGCTGCTGCTGTTGAGTTGGTTGTAAATGGTACTTGTGGATCTAAAACATAAACAACAAATATTCTAGTCATTGGTATAAAACAGGGAAAATAAAATTTGACACCTCACTTAAGACAAACTAATAATAGTAATTCAAAAGTAATATGGACTTTTTCTAATATGTAATAATATTAAAAATTTCTATATGAAATATTATTTAAAAAAAAAAAAAAAAAAAATCATGCAACCAGATTACCTCAAATAAAATACTCACTGAAGCAATAGGCTGTCTGGTTGTAGCCTGTTTGGTAACTTAAATAATTTTGTTGGTTTCCTGCCTGAGTCTTTAATTTTACTGTAAATAAATGGGAAGGCATTTCAAGCTTGTTAACAAATTAATTGATCTTCTGAAGATATGTTTTGTTTTTATCAGAACCTTTTTCAAAATTCATAAATAGATAGTTAAACAGAGGCATTCTCAACTGTTTGAATACTCTTTTAAAGAGGAAATCATTAAAGACTATCTAGAAAGTCAAATGTTAAAACTAACCACTTGGATACCAGTGGAAAAGAACAAAAAGTAACAACAGGCACAAAATGATGACAATGGGTCCTCATCCCAGGACAACAAGAAAACTGTGATACAAAATTCTATGGAAAATAAAACTCAGCATGTGTAAATTGTGATTACTATTCAACCCACAAAAGCTAAACAAATGTCTGGGATGAAGGATCAATATGTACACTGTCCGTCACGACACCAATTTTATCAAGTCACCCCTGGAGTTCATTTTTACCCGTCATAAACAGCTAATCAAATTTTTTACCTGTCCGTGTTTCTACTATAAAATCATTCACTGCATTTAACGCTTCACATACTTTCTAAAGTTTAATGATTTTTCAATTAATGAAACTGGAACGCATATTAAAGTTGACAAATCCAAAGAAAACATAAAAAGTTTACTTTTCATAACTCTCCATAAATTTATTATTTTCTTAACATGCTACAATGGGGGTAGGTTGTGCCAGTGCTTAAATGATTAGTTTCACAGCAAAAATAATTTTATATTAAAACCTACAAAAAATGTAAAATGGATATAAATCAAGTACAAACCAATCAAAGCTACAGATTTTATATGAATGGTAGAAGAATATTTATGTTTCATTTAAGGGGTTTAAAACTCTTAAAAGATCATAAATCAGGCTTTATCCTAAAACACCTGCAAGCTTTTAAATGAATCTGAATTAATATACCAACGATTAACTTGCCATCATTATTTATATACAATTCACAGTAGGGTAACATGTTTTTTACCCTCAAACTATTTCTACTAAAGGAAAAGTTATTCACATGATGTTTTTAAAGTCTATATACATCTTCTGACATATTGACCTTCACACTATTCAAATTAGAACATAAATCAATGCTATTGATGCTTCTTAATGATCATGAAATAAAACATTTTATAATGTTTTGTTCATTTAGAAAAGTGTTCTCTACAAAAATAATTATCATGGAGATACGTATTATTTAGAATATCTACCTTTATTATAGACAGATAAAGTAACCTTCCTTCAATGTTAGGTGTTTTTATAAGCATATACAGAAACAGGATTGTTTTTTGCATGGTTGTCAATTTTAACTTTAGCCATAGAAATCTTTTTTTATTCCTCTGGCCTTTATAAAGCATTACAGGTCCAGTTTCTGCATTTTTATTTACCATGTTTCACAATAGGTACACTTGTACTGGGAGCATTCTCTTTATAGTGATACTAGCATGTATTTTACGTAGTGGGAAGGGGTACTTTACTGGGGAAGGGATGCATATTACCATATTTCACACAGAATTCAGTATCAAGTTTTCACTTCAAAATGTGTACTAAACATTCCCTCTTCCAAAACAAAAACAACTTTTTCTTTTTATCATTTAAATTTTGAACGAACGAGATCCTTTGATCATGATTATTTACTGATTGTTCTTTTTATTTTCAAATGTACATTCTGTTTAAAATTCATTATCTTTAAATAAAAGAAGGCAATCAACGAAAAATATTCAAACACAATGAAATCAACAGATCTTGGATAAAAAGTAATTCACCGTAATATATTCTATTGTGGTCATGTGACCAAATGGTTATCTATGCAATGCACTATAGTTAACACCACCGCCATCATGATCAGATATGTTTTTAGGGAAACATCTGACCACCATTTTTCCGATCCCTATCGGCAAACCTTAAAATCAATCTACATCACTGAGACAATGCATTATTGTAAGGAAGACAAAATATTACAGCATAAAAAATACAACAGATGCTAAAAAGTACATCATTAACGACTGTTAATGTTCAAGTAAAACTGAATTAAGTTTAATGAGGTGGAAAAAACTCTACATTCTTAGGAACACATCCAAAAAAGAAATTTACCAACACACTGATGTGAAAATTAAATAATTCAGTTATTCTCAGGTTAGGTGTTGCCAAACTTTCAATAAATACATATCTATTCCACAAATTCTCAATTCAAAATGTAAGTCAGTTTCTGAGGAATAAAAACTTAATGAAAACACAAAAGTTCAGTTACTTATGAAGAACTATGGGTAGTAAAAATAGATATATATAGGTAAAAGGTTCAATTTTGTATGAAGTTTTAAAGATTTTATGAACGATTCATGACAGACCTGATCTTTCAAACTTTCAAATGTAAAAGTTACCATGGAATTTTGTTTATAACCCAATCCCATAATATTGTGATGGACAAAATCAAAATTCTCCAAAAGGCCAAACATTCTGACCAGGATATGTGTTTTCAGTCATAGCTATTAGAATATATGCTTACAATCTAGTCTGTGAGCTGATCATAACACTGAAGAATAACATGTTGTGTTTAGGAATGAATGGTGACCTATTGATAACTGTCTACTTACATTCTGGTGCATAGGCTGCTCCAGCATACTGTGGTGGATAGAATCCTGTGTTAGGGAATGAATTCTGACCAAGATACGTATTCATGGCTGTTGTTGTGGTTAGTATTTGAACACTGCCGTCAGATGATACAACAATAGGTATGGTAGCACTGAAAAAAATATAACAGTTTATATATTCACAAAGTGCTATAGTACTCTCAACCTTTGAATGCCATATGTTACATCTATCCGTTGAATAATGATGTATAAAATCAAACCTTTGTTAAAAAATATACAATAGTAGTATGCTTGACTTTTTTCTATCAAAGCTTAGACAATATCAATCAATTATACTAAGTTTTTAACTGATTTCCATATAAATTTCTTTAATTCTACAAAATTCACCTGATATAATTTGTACTCTTATAAATAAAATAATTGCCGAAGATAAGTTTATTTATCTTTTTACAGTATTTTGCAGCATGAAATGCATATAAATTATCCAAAATAATGAATCGTACCTGTTTAAGAAATTAGTTAAATCTGTGGGTGTTAATTCTGCACTCTTGTCTATCTCACTTGTGGCTACTGAAATTTTAAAAAATAAAGACATTCAAGCAAGGGATTGACAAAATTCAAAATTATCATACAATAAAATTGAGAATGAAAATGGGGAATGTGTCAAAGAGACAACAACCCAACCAAAGAGCAGAAAAACAGCCGAAGGTTACCAAAACATTTATAATATATTTCCAAATTAGGTCCCCAGGGGGCATATACATGTAACAAATGTGTGGGTTTTTTTTTTACAAAACATTATTATATATTATATATACCAATACCTGATAACCTACAGATCATATTAAAAAAAAAAAAATTTAAATACATATTTGTTCATGTCCTGAAACATGGTACCAAATTAAAAACATATTGGTATGATTATCCAGGAAAAGAATCATGAGTTTATAGATCATGTGTAAATTTTGTTCCCATGTTGCCTTAAAGGGAAAGTAGAAGACACCAATTTACCTGCTAATGGATCTGTTTGTTCTGATGTGGATGTGTTGGACGGTAATGCTAGTGTAATAGTGGCAGGAGAGTTAGACACAACTGCTGCTGGTTCAGTCTTTACTGGAAATAAAAAACGGAAACTTATTATTTTTCCAACAGAAAATACTGATCACTTATCTTACCAAAGGATAATCATGATATTAACAAATAATATTAACACAAATATCTTTTTGTTCAGTGACAAGTATATCATGATTATTCTTATTCAGGATGTGAATAATATTTAAAACCTGTCCAAGCTTATTGCATGGAAGAGACACAAATGGGCAATCGTCTTGTGACAGCCACAGGAAAGTAAAGTGTGTTGGCAGATCTACAATGGCTGATATAATTATCCAAGGACGTCCTGATCAAAGACAATGACCCTTAATTCCTCAACTCGTCCAAGGGCAAATAAACCTCCCTTTACTTCCTTCTTGACAAGTGGTCACACTTCATAACAACTTGACGGATGTTATAATTACAGGAACCTCTTCACATCATCTTAACAACATTCCCCTAATTATATAATTTGTGTATAATAGAAAGCAAACAGAGTAATTATAACAGAATGACATTGTAGTTAATAAAGTGATTTGTCTATGATGCTTCTGTTGGATGTCTGTTTCATTGTTTAAAACAAGCTTCTTCTCCAATCTAAACTGAATTAAATCTATATTATATATATAAACTATTTACACCAAGATATAGTTTCATCTTTATTTTAATTCTGACAGTATAATGCAAAAGTTGAGATTAAGATGGCAATATTTAACAATTCATCTATGCAAAACATTCAAAGTCAATAAGCATGACAAAAATGGCCAAATAATCTCCATCATCTCCATGACAATGAGATTTGCCAATGCTAGTACAATTTCATACCAAATATAATTGACTTATCATATCAAGGATGAAAATATAAATGTTCTGATGTATCTAATTGGTTAATATACCCCAGGACTGGATGGTATAAAAAAGATATACACACCTACAGGTGAACTAACAGTAGTCACTACCCAACTGTCTTCACTTGTGAAAGTGGTGCCATCTTCTGTTGACAAGCCACCTAAAACAGAATAATTACAATACAAAAGTGATCAATACTAAACTGTCCACAAGATGCTATCTTGCTTATAGGCCAACCAAAAATAGAAAGTTCACAATATGAAAACCTATCTCAAGGCAGTATAATACCTAACTCTACATTTTTTCGCCTCTAATAGTGGCATCTATTAAGTTGACAAACTGTACTATACAGCAAGTTTACAATGAGAAAATCTGGACAAAATAACTAAAGCATTCTTAAGCATTCTTTTTAAGCCACAAACCTCATATGAATGTCAATATTTGATAAACTGATAGGACAATATGGCTGAAGCCACAACTCCCTTATGTGTCACTAAGAAATCAAATGTATCTTTTTTTCACAAAATTAATCATAGTCAAACTCATTTTCCTTGAAAGTTGGTGAATATGCATAATTAACTATGTTTCATACTATGACCATAATCCCAGTGAGACTTTCAGTGAGGTCTGTCCTTCAAGGTCAGGACCAGTGACTTCCATGTCAAAATTCATTGCCTAGATATTCTTTGTTACAACAATCACCTCTATTTTTTACAAGACAACAAGCCCCGATAATAACTGGCACATGACAGATCTTTACTTGACTGTGGAATAATTACGTGGCCATACGGTGCGGTTATTGCAACCAAGTACAATAGTTTTCTCCAAGCCTAATCATCGAAAGATTCATCAAATATGACATACAGATTAATTCAGAAAAACAAAAATTGATTAAATATAACTTGAATTGATGACAGCAATTATTGCAAAATTAATTAAATCTCAGCAGAGAGAAAAGTTCGGAGAAAATGGATGATTACGAAGCATTGCATGACCAAGACATATTATGGACGACAGTGGAATAGATTACTACGGAAACTCCTTGTCACATGATCAGAACAATATGTCTTTTTATGTTATAATGTAATGATTACAAATCACCCAAATTGGTGCATTCCACGCTTCCTTGCTTCTTTGTAGTCAATGCAATGAAAACAAAAGGTTTAACATACCCATAAAGCAGACAATAATTGCAAATTTAAGAAACAAATGCAAAAACAGCATGAACACTTAAATGACCTCTCTTCTAACTCACACATTATTTATAGTGGATAATGCTTCAGATTATTTATGTTAATGTATGGCAGCAACCTTTCAACAATAGTCTACTGATGGTCTGAAAGTCACAATATAGGATGATTTACATAGTTACACAGATGTAGACCTAGTTGCTGATCAATTTCTGTCAAAAACATATAACAGCTGAATAAAAAGTGCCTTAACAACAATGTAATACCCTCATAGTGTACATCCATCCCTGCATGGGGTAAAGTTAAAATTTCTGAGCTAAGACTGACGAAGTGGTGGTTATGTACTTATGGTACCATTGCTCTCCAGTTTTAAAGACTGACAGAAGTGGTGGTTATGTACTAAAAGTACATGGCTTTCCAGTTTTAAAGTTCCCACTGTATCAATAAATTCAAATTTCATTCATAATTTGATTTCTTACTCATCTGAAACCATGTCAGTGAAAAAAAATTTCAAAGGATTTTCTACCTTACAAAATCACTTATATCACAAAAATTAAATTAACTTATCAATATCAATATATTTCTAAAGGTAAATAGCTTTAAACCATACAAATACAAGTGCCATTTTCAAATTGTTTGACCAGAAATGAAATCATAAATGAAGAAAAGTCTGACCTTCAATAGAATTGAAAGGTATTTATCACACATTCCCCTCGGGAATAAAAAAACTCTATGAAATTAATTACTCTCACCCCAGATAAGTGAATGTTAATTCCCCTGTCAAAAATTCAGGTAATTATAAATTTTACGCCTTATTAAGCCACAATAGAATCAATCATTAGATAATTCTGATAAACAGATTTTAATAAAGAAATCAAATATTTTTCAATTAATGACTCATAGGGGATTTCAAAAGGTTTTTATATTCCAGACAAAATATATTTAATGATTCTGATTAAGTGTTATAGTGGAAAATAAGTGATGGCACCAATCTTTTTCTACCCTGCCTAAATTCATTTCTGTCATAAACTGATGCAACTGCTTAGGAATTTAGGTCTTTAAGGAATTCAGATCTTTAAGCAATCTCTATCTAAACAATTTAAATACAGAACAATTGTGTTCCATAATTAAAATTCAGGTCCACAATTTGAAATAAAAGTTTAGTCATTTTGTTAACCTTAACTAATAGTGACAAATATCAGAGCCTATATTCTAAAAATAAACTGCAAACAATGCCAAAATTATAAAATTGAAACGAAAATGTTATCTACTTCACACATTAAACATCCAGCAACAACATGCTTATTCAGGACAATAAAATAATTTGTTTTTAAATATTCATTAAAAAGGTTTCCCTAAATAAATTAATACCCTTCTTAATTTTTTTAAGTCAATGATTTTTTTGTGGGGTAGTTTGTAGTGACATATGGGAAATCACAGTCACTGGTTATAAAGACAAATAACGTTTCAGGCTTGATCCTTTACCTTACAGCATTTCCTCTCTATTCCTTCAGTCATATTTGTTTTTACCATGTGCTTATGCTAAATAATACTATGAACAGTTTTAACCTCAAACCATCACTGATTGGACAGAGATAAAAATAAAATAATACATGCTATTTGTATCACAGAATAGAATGTTACATTCTAAAAAGAAGGAAGATAGTTAAGGGACACTCATAAACCGTGAATATAAGACAGACAGACCACACCATAGCCAAATGAATACATAAGGCTACGCAGAAAACTAAAGATTGAGCAAAACAAAGCCCTAACTTACCATTTGTGGTGCCATTAGCTGGTAGATCTAGTGATGATTCTTTTGACTGGTCATGTAATGGTGAATGATTGGTATGACTATCTAATGAAGACTGCTCTAACAAGGGAGAAACTTCAATAAGTCTGAAAAATAAAGGAATAATCTGTCAACAAAGGATGAATATCTAATGAAGACTGCTCTAACAAGGGAGAAACTTCTATAAGTCTGAAAAATAAAGGAATAATCTGTCAACAAAGGATGACTATCTAATGAAGACTGCTCTAACAAGGGAGAAACTTCTATAAGTCTGAAAAATAAAGGAATAATCTGTCAACAAAGGATGACTATCTAATGAAGACTGCTCTAACAAGGGAGAAACTTCTATAAGTCTGAAAAATAAAGGAATAATCTGTCAACAAAGGATGACTATCTAATGAAGACTGCTCTAACAAGGGAGAAACTTCTATAAGTCTGAAAAATAAAGGAATAATCTGTCAACAAAGGATGACTTTCTAATGAAGACTGCTCTAACAAGGGAGAAACTTCTATAAGTCTGAAAAATAAAGGAATAATCTGTCAACAAAGGATGACTATCTAATGAAGACTGCTCTAACAAGGGAGAAACTTCTATAAGTCTGAAAAATAAAGGAATAATCTGTCAACAAAGGATGACTATCTAATGAAGACTGCTCTAACAAGGGAGAAACTTCTATAAGTCTGAAAAATAAAGGAATAATCTGTCAACAAAGGATGACTTTCTAATGAAGACTGCTCTAACAAGGGAGAAACTTCTACAAGTCTGAAAAATAAAGAAATAATCTCTCAACAAAGGATGACTATCTAATGAAGACTGCTCTAACAAGGGAGAAACTTCTACAAGTCTGAAAAATAAAGAAATAATCTGTCAACAAAGGATGACTTTCTAATGAAGACTGCCTCTAACAAGGGAGAAACTTCTACAAGTCTGAAAAATAAAGAAATAATCTGTCACCAAAATACCTAACAATAATTGCAAATTAGCAATACATGGCTTTCACACATGTTTTTGCAAGAAAATTAAAAGAAAATTTGAATAGTTCAATCTCTGTTATTCTGTACAATTCATTTGAATAATTATAGGTGTTCTATTCATAGAAATGGCAGCCGTATTGGTTGATCAATGTCAATACCAGGAATATATTTGAAACTTTACACACTATTGATGATTTTGACAAACATGACAAAGATTAGTTCCTTTTGCCCCTGTGGTTTCATAGGTGAAGATATTTTTTATCTGCAGAAAGAAGACAATGGATGATGGATGAGAGACAGACAACTTATGGCCATGCGATTACTATAGCTCACACTAAACCTGTGAGCCAGGTGAGCTAATAATTTTAAATAAAAATTTTCAAAATTTGAGAATAAAAAGTGCAAGCCTTTAAAAACAAAAAACAAACCATTTTTTTCATCAATGGCTTCTCAAAAACCAAGAATTTGATAAATGACACCAGTTGACCTAAAATCTAATTTGTGGTTAACAAGAACAAAGACCATGTACTTTTTATCCAACATATTTTAGATGTGAAACCTATACATATAGTATTCTCACTATTTATTTAAACATTCCATGGATATTCCTGGAAACATCTTGGAATGGGGTTGTTGAACTTTAACAATATAATTTTGTAGGTGAGAAAACTTGAGCAAGTAAGATTATGGCACAAAGTATACATGCCTCAGTGTTTTCCCTAATAATTTTTTGAAGGATAGGGTTGACTGAAAGGATGGTGGTCATGGATTTAAAAGGATGGAGCTTATGATATAGGGAAATAAAGAATTTCAAATTTTGAATGATGGGGGCCGAAATTATTAATGCATTTGGACACCACAATGCATAAAACCTATAGGGAAAATTCGGTGATGATGTCTATCCAAACAGGAAAGATGACCAAGCACTTGTTTCATATTCACACATATTCCATGCCCATCCAAAGTTAAAACTGGTATCCCTGTCATACTATTGGCAGAGATATAGAACATTCTATAGATTTCTACATGTCTTACAAACAGAAACTACCAGCATTAACAAATTGACCTGCTGATTGACCTGCTGACAGCTAAAAAGCTAGATTTTAGAAAAATGTAACAATTTTATGACGTAGATATTCTCAGTGTGTCAGTTTATGATTATTGATTCTAAGGAAATAACAATTTATATCCGTGATTCTCTACATAACGATGGATTGTGGGATAAAATGGTTCCCTGACATATCGGAAATTAGGCAGCAGACATATGCTGTATAGCGCCATTAACAGTTTAAATCAGACAAATTAAAACAGCATCAAAACATTGTATATGATCAATAGTAAACACTTTCTGACCATCAAAATTAACACTTTAAGGAGCTGTTATCTCAAACAATCTCTAAGCATGATACACACAGACTACAACCACTATCAACATTTCAAAGAAAGCCATTGCACTTAGAAACAGTAAATGTTTTCAGAAATCTATATTATTATTCTTAAAATATCTTCAGCAATTTATTGTGGAAAAGGCACAATTTTTAAGAGAATATAGAAATCAGCAGAAACTTTCTGGTCATCAGTATTAATCCTTGATAGAGATGTCTAAGATGATTTGGAACATGAGTACTATTTCAGACTTATAAAATAAACAAAAAATTTCCTTGGGTGACAAACTATTCTGAATAATCAATATAAAACATTTCCTGGTCTTATTAAAGCTTAGCAATCAAGCTTTCAAAAGAACATGTTAGTATTTATAATTGAATTTTTCAAAATCGTTTCAAATCTTTTCACTGGAAATAATTTTAACATGTTTAGCAAAATTTTAAAGAAATAAGAAAAATTGAAAAAAGCATCGAAGTTTAAAACAAGTTAGATACACTACATTATGATAATAGCTTTCCTAACCTATGATAACCTAAAGCATGTAATCTTAATGATAAATCTGGACTAAAGCATGAATAGGAAAAATGTCTGCCTTTATTCAAATCTACGATGGGAAGAAAATCAGTGAATTCCTTGGTTTAAAACCAAATTTGTACTTCTGTATAGAGTTCAGCTGTTTTATCAACAACCTGTAATTACTGTATGCATATGAATGGGTATTATCACTCAGATTCTAACTATAATCTAATCCTTAAACAACATCAAAATTATTTTAACTATGCTCAATTATTTCCTGTTGTTATGTATAAATTAATAGTTTACTCATTTTGAAATCAGGATAGAGTCCTAGATAAAAGACACCAATGATAGGACTCCCAAATCAACAAGCTCATGTATATCTACTTTTATATCTCAGCTATTTTAAACAAACTGTTCCTATATTTTTAAACAATACACTTTTGAACATAAATGAAATCCATCATCATTATAAGCTTTGTTTCATCTACACATTTATCATCAGAAACAGCATTAAATGTGTGAAAACAGTGAAGTGGTGGTCATCCACAGCATTACCAAGGTATGATGTACTTCACTTATATTGAAACAGCATTAAATGTGAGAAAACAGTGAAGTGGTGGTCATCCACAGCATTACCAAGGTATGATGTACTTCACTTATATTGAAACAGCATTAAATGTGAGAAAACAGTGAAGTGGTGGTCATCCACAGCATTACCAAGGTATGATGTACTTCACTTATATTGAAACAGCATTAAATGTGAGAAAACAGTGAAGTGGTGGTCATCCACAGCATTACCAAGGTATGATGTACTTCACTTGTATTGAAACAGCAATATGATTTGTTACCAAGGTATGATGTACTTCACTTGTATTGAAACAGCAATATGCTTTGCTATCTATTTATCTTTATAGGAATTTTGTGCGTTTATGAATGCACAAAAAATATCTTGACATCAAATATAAACCTCATTAGCTAAAACCATGTACTATTATACATTGAAAACAGCAAATTAATTTTCTAAAGTGATATAAACTTGATGAGCTACCTACTATAAATCATTGCCAGCTTAATCCTCCTGCAGTAATTGTCTTTTGTGCAGGTGCTGTTTGTATTAATGCAGCATATTTTCTATGAACTGACATTTCCATAAAAGCAATTTTCTAAGACAATTATTACAACTGTAATAGTTTACAACTGCCATGTAAAGAAAATTACAAACTTTAAAATACATTCTCTCTTCTATACAATTGCAGGTTACAAATTAAGCTTTTTTTTGCAGCAATAAATATTTTATCGACAAACATAAAATGAGCTTGATGAAATGAGACTGTTTTAAAGCAAACAATGGACTGTTGTCAACAAACAAGAAAAGAATCTCGTAAAAATACTTGTGAATGGAACAGAGCACAACGTTAAAGTTGTTCGGAGGAAGTCCCTTAAGATGGAGTAAACTGACAATTATATCGCTATAAAGGAAAGAAATCCAATTAATTATCTGCTGATTAATTCCTTTGCTGTTGTAATTTTCTTATGGAAATGGTGCATTTGTCCTGAATGGTTACAAGATTTGTTAGAGAAGTGGCGTGTTTCAATGACAGCCTTCAGAGCAAACTTGTGCAATCTACAGAGGGATGATGCAAGGCAGTAGGTTACACTCAATACAAAACATAAAAGTTTTCATTGTCACAAACATAATTATATTCCTCTGGTATACTTTAATAAAAAGGAAACACATATTTAACGGAAAGCAAGTAAATAGTGTCCAAGACAAAATTGAGGAATGTCCTCATTTATAAAAGTCATAGTGTGACAGATTACTGCCAGTTCAAGGAACAAAATATGTGCTAAATCAAGCCTTTCCAATAAAATTATTCATCATTCAATTAAAAAGGACACTCCAAAAACTGACTATAATCTTTTGTCTTTGCTACCACCCTCACAGGTGGTGCGTTCATATTTAGATGTTAAATCATCAATGATTATTTTAAATGTGCGTCAGTATAAAAGATATATTGTTTAGTTGTGTGATTACACCTGGTCAATGCACATTTTTTGTTGAACAGGTAGCAGAAATAATTGTTTTCTCACCTGTTTTACATACAAGGAAGGCGCAGGTATCCAGTCTGGTATAATTCTAAACACAAACAAGGACATTATGATTGTAATTGACGGAGAAACCAGCAAACATAAAAATAAGCCATTCACAAACTAACAAGCGTCCACGATACAAGAATTACCACTAAACTGCTAGTAACTTATTTTAAAATTTAGCAGACCTTACTGTTTTTTTACAAAAGACTGAGTAATCCTAAGTAATCTATCAATTAATATAAACAGATCCGATTTTCAGTTCCACTGATCTAGAAAAACACTTATTCAAGGTTGTAATAACTGACAATATAACAGACCTGCAATCAATACAATAATGTGCAATAATACATTAAAAAAAAGAGGTAAAAAGACCGACTGACCTGATACATAGTAACCATGTAATAACATAAGGAATGGGTGTGACTGCTTTTCTCTATCACCTTGCACATTCTTTTACTGTCTTTTTACATCAAGTCTGCTAGACTTTGACCCTGTAGTCTGTTTAAGTACCTTATCTTTAACATTAGGTCAATATTCAAAGGTCTACTCAAATTTTATGTACAAATAATTCATTTTTAATTAGTAATTTAAATTGTAACAATTTTATATCTTTCAAGACTTTTTTAATGCAATGGTCCAAAACTTTTGATATATTTTTGGAAGTAAAAGGGCACTGCAGACAGCAACGTCCTTGTTTTGTCTAGAAATGACACTGTTTGAGATACATGTCTCTGTTTACTATTTATGAAGCATAAGGTAACATATGCAAGATTGATATATAAATATTGAATCTTAACATAAGGGGTTTCTTAGTATGAAACATACAATATCACACCTGTGAGTTGATCATATATGAAGCCTTAATGGGCACAACATACAAGATGAGGATACAAAACATACTCTCGTTTAAAATAAAATTAAATTGACAATGCAATGGAATTTAATACTAAAACGACGTTATGAAAATTAACAAATAACAATTTCTTTGCAATAATAATAATTTAAACCTACCGTCCACTGTATGATCAGGAAGTTTTAATATGTGTAGTTATATGATACAGTGGTACTTAGCATCAGTTTTGTCTTCCCGTTTCACTTTAAGAAAACTGTATTAAAATTTTTAAATTAAAATTTTTTAATTTTGAAATATTTATTATATATGTGACATGTTTTGAGACAGAAAATAATTTAAGACTTTCATTAAGATTTAATTAGAACTTTTATGAGGTGCTGTAAGTAAGGATTGGTCACAAGACAGCACTAATAACAATGGTGTATTATGTAATGAAAAGCCACACTGACCCACATAAGGTCTTTGATATGGTACAATGTAATCAGTACAAAACGATGGATGGATTGGTGTTTATTGTCCAGTGGCAAATGTTACATGCATATCAGGTCTAGAACATGTTGATTTGAATAAATATGAACTCTGGTGCGTACAAGACAGATTATCTGAGTCAGATTTTCAACCAACAAGTTCACAAGGTGACAATATGCAGGAAAATATGTCACTCCACATGGACACATTATTCTGACCCGAACTTGACCAGTCTTACCCACACACATTATTCTTACTCTGAGCTATCCAGTCTTTGCTTTTACCCCTCAATGTTGCATGCTCAGAGGAGAAGCAGAAAAAAGATTGCCTAGTGCAGTAGCTTCTTAGGTCCCTTTTGTAGATAATCTACATTTGTACACATTGCTAAAGTAACTGTAGGATAAAATGACAGTAAAATATTTGTAGAGTATCTGCATTTCAGAAAAGCAAATGCTTTCTCTTTAATCTTTACAAGCAGAGAACAGTAATTGTCAAGCTGAGTCTATAATGCCCACTACTTCCTGTTCTGGGTCTAGAGGTCACTTCACCTAGTAATAGCTTGACCCTAATGACTTTAATGGTTTACTTCACCCATGACCTGAACTTCCACATCATTATTGGTCAAAACAAAATCATGAAATTAAAGTTCTGTGTACAAATCTCAAAATGCATCAAGATTTGTCAAAACAAACCAAGATGGAGTATAAATGTTTTGTCCAATAGCTCACTATTGCAAGTAAATGGCTGCATGAATTCTAGACACAGATAATGTTCTCTGTGATAAATAAATGTTTTAGATAGACTATGTCCCCTAAGTTCCAAAGATCAGAAAATAAGGTAAATGTTGTGGATCATACATCTACATGTATCTCCTAAAATACTGGGAAAAAGCAATATAACATAGGAACTACAGTTTTATCATTGTTCCCCATCTTTAGAGTCGCTGAAATACTTTTGACTAAGACCTGAAGTGCCTAACATTATACAGCAATAGACAGTCCTCAGATATAAAGAGCTATGCAGCATACTGAAAATATGATCATGAATTTTTGAAATAAAGTTTTGGATCTACATAAAAAGTGCAAATAGTATAGGATTGAAAATAATTTTTAAAGAAAAAGATTTGTAAGCTTTGTTTCATTTCTATAGCAGGATAATACAAATTCAGAAATCAGATACTTCTTAACTGAGTGGGAGTTGGTATTTTCTTTCTGTGTACCTCTGCTTTTGCTTTTTCATACACTATATAATGATGCACTGAATGGTAATCATTCTTGCTTTTGCTTTTATTTAATTTTGTTTCAGAACCAGACAGTGACCAACAGTTCATTGCACAACAAACAGAAATTATAGATGTATTATTACATCTGTTACTGTATATTTCCATCTATTATTTTGCAACTATAGAATTTCCGCAATGATTATATTGTACTCACCGATCGTCAACAAGGTTATTGTCTAAGCTGTTATCTTTCCTTGCTCGCTTCACCTGTAAATTACAGAAGAAATTCTTTAAGCCTAAAGCCTAAATCTGTCAAATCTTTATTCTATCTATCGCGATCTACTCCACAATTTACAACTTCCCCTACCAAACCAGAAGACCATACAATATAAACTCGAAGCTTTTCTCTACCTATCATTGAAAAAGTCATTAAATCACTGATTTTAATTCAACAAATACTGAAAACAGTCATTTAAAATGTCAAGAAAATGACCACTGGCTCTCTTTGGAGAATTTATAAAGAACTTGTTATTTCTGATGATAATGTTCATTTTCTGAGCATTGACATTCTAAAACACCTATTTATTATTTAAAGGGTTTTGGTATTTATTTTTCATTTAAAATTTCCATGTCTCTGTTGTAGAAATATTTGACAATATCCCCCTTTCCATCTCATTAATGTCATCAGACAGACAAATATTTTTTTTGCACGAAGCTATTTTGCATTACAATAAGTCCAGTTCTGTTTCCAAAAATCAACAATAACATTCCCTCTGCATGAGAAGTGTCATACAGAAGTATGTGTTTACATATTTTACTTTGCAGGTTCTTATTGTGTTTTAAATGTTTTGAAAACTAATGAAATCCAACATTCTTCGCTGGTACCAAAGAAAACTATATATCACCACTCTGTTAGTCTTTGAATGTGTGTTTTCTATTTTGACAAGTAAGGTGATGGTTGTAGCTGCAGTTTTCTGTGGTAATCTTTATTTTTGAGGTAAGCAGTATTTTTTGGAAACTGCATAGAATTCAGAACTAGTTCATCATCTGCCCAAAACATTAAGGGTTCTAATCAGATTTATAACAATAGATTGTTACACCCTTCTTTTGATTTATTATATACATGTGTACATAATTGTGCAGCACAAAAACACACATACATGCATTTGTTAATGGATGAAACAAGCACCTGTCAAACAACCATTGTCTTATCCAATGTCAAGGTCATACTCTACAAACAATTAATTTGATAAACTTATGAAAAATCATTTAAAATCACTTCCCAATTCATAACATAGATAAAGGGTATAAAAGTAAACAAATATCAATTTTATTTCAATTAAATATCAAAATCAGCATGGAAATGATGTGTAGATAATGGATACATAATTACATGATAATATGAGGGGTATGAAAACTCACCAGAGGTGGAGATGATGGGGGAGAGTCATCCAACCAAGCAAAACTGGGGTTCTCACTCCCCAAAATCATCCTCAATCATATACACAACACAAATATTCCAACAGAAAAAACGTGGCTACACAAAATCAGCCATTATCTCAAGGAAAACAGGTCAAACATATGTGTCAGAAACTGTGCAGGCTGAGATTTTCTTCTGATTAGAGTGAGTAAAGCCATATGTGAAAGATTTGACAACACAGTGGGATGAATACAGTCAGAATTAATTAATAATCACTTAATTAAACAAATCTTTTCCTCAACAAGGAATATCAAGACAAGCTTCAAAAATTTCAAATAAATGCTGAACAATAAAAGACAATTAATGAGAAAAATATGAAATTGGTCACCAGTTATTTAATGAAATAACATAATACATATTATCAATATATAATGATATAAATGTACCTATAAAATCATCTTGTACTTTACATGTTATTATGTCATTTCTATTACCTTCAAGAGGGCCTCAAGCAAGATAAGTGAAAACTAATTTGGTAACCCTCTTTTAATAACGAATAACTATTATTATTATTATTATTATTATTATTATTATTATTATTATTATTATTATTATTATTATTATTATTGTTATTATTAAGATAAAAAATCCATGAAAATGTATGACTTCTGTGTTTTGACAAAATGGCAGTTCAGGTTAATATTGAATAGTATTAGTTTTCCCAAAGCATTTTTATATAATTCCTCTCTGTTTCTGTACAAAAATATGTAAAATATTAAGTTTTCATCAATTTGAATTAATTCTCCAAAAAATCCAGCATCAAAGAAAATGTAAGAAATTTATTGACTTTAATCTATACAAGACTGTGAACATGATTTTGACTTCTGTATGTTTTAAAACTGGAGAAAACATCTGTTTCATATTATCAAAATAATCCCAAGATTTCTCAAAACAGCAGCAGGAAAATGAATTTATAGCAAGTTCAGTGATAAACTTGTCAAAATTAATACATAAATCACTTATAAATATTTTGAGTGGTAAAGTTTTTCCTTCTGCCGCTAAACACAAAACGTCCTTATTCTCATGATATTTTTTCCTCTTTAATTTTTTTTTTTAACAATTATCTAGCCTAAAAATACTCAAATTTTAAAATGGAGCTTTTAAGATTGTCAGTATTGCTTGATAAATATTTAACATACACTTTTGTCTTGTTAAATATTTATAACTTTGTCTTTAAATTTTTTTAATGCTATGTTTGCTTTTCTACATTAAAAGACGATATTTGAACACTTTTGAAAATCTGTGTAAAGAAAAGCATTGTCCCATAGTCATTGATATGATCTGTTAAAACGTATGCACAGCTGAACATATTGAGGAAAAACCTACTTAGAACAGAATTCATCTTAACAAAAACAAAACTGATCACTCAAGCAAATTCTAAACAATGTTTAAATCTGAGGAGTGACTCTAGTCATATAGATACCAATAAAAAAATATTAGCTTTGATTCTGTCACATTTTTCAACACTGCAAACATCAAGTAGATTACAAGTATATATTAATTTACTAAAATATTGAATTCTTACTTATAAAAGTTCCTATTTTTTCCTCATATCTGTACATCAGGACAGAACTGTATAATCTATATAGATATTAATTTACTTACACGATTAGATAAATGACGGCTTAATTATTCATATGAAGTTATCCTTTCAGAAACAACACATCACAAAGACAACAATTACAGGTAAAACATCAAAGGATTAACCTGACAGGTGTACTGGTACCTTAACAGGTGACCAGTAGTTGACCACTTGTGGACTCAGTAGGATTTATATCACCTCAGGAAATGTGTGAAAACAGGAAAATCACAAGGAAATTAAAGAGAATCAGATTTCCTTGAAAACAATGGGTTATGTGGGTACTGGCTTAATAGAAATAATTAATATTTATAACAACAGATAAATATAGGTAAAAGAAGCAGGTGTCATCATTCTTATCTTTTCAACTTCACAATATTTATAATACAAAATAAAGTAACAACGAAGACATCATGAGGGAATAAACAATGAACATAATATAATTCAGCTTTATCTTAGTTATTATATTTCATATTCAAAATTTGTAAATATTTACAGTTAGACTTTAGGACTAAAAATTGAATATTGTGAAATGAAAAAAAAAAATTAAAAATTTTAAAGTCAGCTTTTCACAATTTGTAAAATAGTTATAAAAAAAATAATTTATAAATGAATCTATAATCCTAGAATTTATACAAATATTGTTATATTAAAGGTATTCTAATATGATATTAAAAAGAACTCTATTGAATCACACAGGGAAACTTGTTCACCCGGCTCACAAAATATCATGTTCGATTAAATTATTGTGAATGGCAGTTTCTTTAGGATTTACAACTTTTAACACTGTAATTTACCTATTATAGCATTTCTCTTGAAAGGTTAAAGCCGAATACTTTACTGAAATTATTTATAATCATTTATGTCTATTTTTTAACAGCAATTATTTCAATTTTTCCTTTGTTAAAATTTATGACAAAATTCTTTTGATGTTGTCCGGTAAAAACTATTAGCTAAATAAGGAAATTGTTGATAATTATGTCAGCTACACACATCAAAGGTTCATAATCAAAATAATATTTATTTTTGCAATTTTTTTCTATAGAAATATTTGTTCAAAAATTTATTATGAACTATTTTTGCAATTTTGTTGGAATAGGTTTATTCCTAAATTTTAACAAATTTAGTTTTTACAAATTCTTTTCTTTGTATAAAAAAGTTTTCTTTTTCATGATTTTAATTAGATACTGATGGAATAATTCGAAAATCAAAATACAATAAAATTAAACAAAAAAAGTTTCTGGTTTTAAAATGAGATGTACATTAGAATAAAGAACGGTAAAAATTATAATATAATTTCTTTACATCTTAACAGCAGCCAAATACTTTAAAAAAAAGTATGTATACAAAATCTTTTTAAAAAAAGGTAAATAAAAAAAAGTATGTATACAAAATCTTTTTAAAAAAAGGTAAAAAACTAACAAAAGAAAAGTAAATTTTGTAGAATCGTAATTTACATTAAGTAAATTTAAAGTCTAAAGAAGAGTAATTTTGTACAAACAACTAACATAAAATTCTTAGTAGTTAAATGTCCTCCCTTCTGTTTAAACAAGAGCCGAACCATGTTTACCCGCCATTTCACCAACAATTGTAGTGTTTAAAATCAACTTTGAGATCCTAATTAGAGAAAAAAGGATTACGGAAAAAATGTTTTAAGTAAACATTGAAGACCTACAGGAGGTTGGCTAAAGGAAATGATCAACTTCGACTTTATATTTTATCTGAATGAAAGTCCAAAATTTTACTTGGTCAATTTTAAAGATGATGCTTGTGACATACAAACATAGTAATAATACATAAAATTGAAAAAGAAAAAAAATATTGTGTTTAAGTAGCCTTAAGGGTTAACATAAGGAATTTAAAAAAATGGTTTAAGGTATTACGGTGGAAAATAATTAAAAGTACTAAAACTTGAACTTGATTTCAATAGAATTGTTAGAAAAATTACATTCATGCTGAAGAAAATCCATCAACCTTTTTTCAGTTGATTAAATTTCAAAACACTTCCAATTTGACAATATATAGCCACTGGCTATTTAAGATTTTGGCAAGAAAAGTAACAAATTTGTAATGTTACACCTAAAATGAAACTGACCCATATTTAAACAACACATCTGACTGGTATCAAAACTGATACACAAACAACATGGAAAATAATATGGAAAATAATACAGACGGAAAAACAAAGGTCACACTTACCTCAACGAT